CGGGACCCGACAGCGTCCCGCTCCCCTCCCCGCCGGCTTCCCCGGTGCCGCTCCTGGAGGGTGCGGGTTAATCCCGGGGTGCTGGCTGCCCTCTCTGGTTGCCTGAGTGTTGCGCTGAGCCGTCGCCCGCGGAGAAAGCAGAAGGGCAGCTCTCCGCGTTAAAAACACTTCTGCCAACTGCTCCCGGGAAGAGGTACCCTCACTGTGATTTATTTGCACCCAGTGCCTCCCTGTGGCCTCGGTGCCGCTGAGCCCCTCACTACAAGAAGGACATTGAGGGGCTGGAGTGAGTCCAGAGAAGGGTAATGAAGCTGGTGAAGGGTCTGGAGCACGAGTCCTGTGAGGAGAAACTGAGGGAGCTGGGGGTGTTTAGCCTGGAGAAAAAGAGGCTCGGGGAGGCCTTATTGCTCTCTACAGCCACCTAAAAGGAGGGTGTAGGCAGGTGGGGTCGGCCTTCTCTCCCAGGCAGCCAGTGGCAAGACAAGAGGACAGAGCCTCAAGCTGGGCCAGGGGAGATTCAGACAACATGATGAATTTCTTCACCGAAATGGTGATTAGACACTGGACTGGACTGCCAAGGAACATGGTGGAATCACTGCTACTACAATTGTGATTCAAACTTAGCCATGCTGTGACCAAAATGCAAGTCATCTTACTTCACACAAAGGTGTGGTGATGGGAACACAACTGCAAGATTTTCTCAGTTTGCAAATAGGTATGTGCTGTGACCATAGTTTTTTGGCCCATGTAACTACAGGCATTTTGGTTGCCCAAAAAAATGTGTTCAGCTAACTGGCTGCAGAAGGACTTACAGTGAGGTGATATGTGGAAGTGGTTCCTCAAGAGCAATTCTGTGGTATGGTTAAGATGAACACAGGGGAGGTCACTGAGCTGAATATTGTCAATGCCAAAGAAGACTTGTCCTGAGGAAATTAGGACCAAAAGCCAGGAGGAAGGGGGCTGTCAGTGAAAGCATGTTGGTTTCTTTGCTGTGGCAGGGTATGGCAGCAGAGGTAGGGGACAACAGAAGAAGGCTGATCATGGGGGTGGCTTCTGTGAGTTTAGGGATGGCATGTCATAACTTGAGGTCCTCAGGATGAATCTGATATTCTTTTAAGGACATTCTTCCACTGAGAGATGGAAGAATATGAGAGCCCCCTTCAGGAACTGAGTCCATGTGCCTTTTCAGTCCCATTGGCATTTCCTTGTTTTCCTGATTTGGAAGTTGCTTGGAATAAAGATGAACTTGCTGCACCCAGTGTGTTAGGTAATGTATTGGTGTGTCCACCAATGCCACCATATGCCAGATTTTCTGTGAGCTACCAACAAGGCTCAGGAATAATACTTTTTGTTGTTTTGACTGTACTTTTTCCCCCTGGTTCCCAGCTCTGTTACTTCCAGGATGACTTGGGGAAGTTACCTTCCTCTAAAATATCAATTCAGCATTAGCAAGAGATTAAAAGCTGGGCAAAGGTATTCATGGTGGCCCTGCTCCTGACACATGCATCTTGCTCAAATGCTTAGAACTAGTGATCAAATCTGACTTGAGAAGAAATTTTTTCTCTAGTGTGGGCTGTTGCATTTGAGGTAAAAAAAAATTCAAAAGGGAAGGAGGAAGCATTCACCCCACTCAGCAAGATGGAATGTGGCTCATTTTGTGAAAGGAATGTGGGAATTTTGGGGACAAGAACTGCTGGAATGGACAGAGCCCTCACCCTGGAGCAGTATAAACCTTAAATCTGTTGGCAGGGGGGTGGAGGGGAAGAGGTTAATATATGTAAGTGGAAGACAAATCATAAACTTACTGGGGTGGAAAGGAATGTGAAGAGTTCATCTCATCTTTCCTATGATTTTACTACCATAAAGCAGGATCCAATCTCCCCATCTCTTTCCTGGTAAATACCCAAATTATGCAAATATCTTTAGGGATGAAACTTGATAACCTCCTCATACATCTTTTTCAGTGCTCTGCTTTCCTTGGCTTAGGACAGTCTAGTTCTCTTTTTGTGACCCTGAGAGACTCCACTCCCTGACTCTTCCACACTCAGTTCCACACATCTGGTTAAGAAAGGTCTGGAGAAAAAAAGGCCAATATTTATGTCAACATTTCCTCATGGTTTTATTTTTTTTTCTTCCTACATAGGCATGGTGAATTAACAAAATTAATGGCAGGTCAAATTTGCAGCCCTGGGAAAGTAGCACACACTGCAGGGGAAGATGGATGATGATGTGATGACACCAGCTCTATAGAGAAAGGTAGGGACAGCTGGGTGCAGGCCCACTGAAATGGGGGAAAAAACCCTAACTTCCAAATTTTAGCATGCTTAAGAAAAGGGACACTGAATGATGAGCAATGAAATAGCTCTGTAAATGTATAGTCACCATACCTTATAGTGTGTTGCAGTACTTCAGCTTCAGAATTTTGAAGGGTGTACAAAGATCACTGTTAGAGTGGGGTAAACAGACACAGAGAAACTGGGAGGCATATGAGTAACTGGAGGTAGAACTCATCTGGAAATCCTTTCCCAGTCTTGACACTGTTTCTTCCTGGACAATCTTTAGAAATCATTCCTGCTCCAGACTAGTGATACATAATACTGTCATTTTTCCTGTTAAGAGCACATTTTGCAGAAGGATCTATAGCACGGTATAGGATTCAGTTAAATTCAGGCTACAAGATGGGGTCACTGCAGTCCTCTGCTTAAAACATCACTGATAAAAATCTTATTTTAAATGTTCTGGTCAGGACTAGAGAAGCTTTTCAATTTTTAAAAGTGTTTTGTGTGGAAAATCCCTCTGTTAAATAATTAGCAAGTGCTCTGAGCATTACTGCATATTTTATATTTCATCTGCCTGGAAGAAATGGACAGTTCTGTTGCTATAGATTAACTGCAATTTATTTTGTAGTACTCTGACTGCTGGAAGAGAGAGACTTCTTAGTTTATTTCTTCTACATTCAATTACTAAAGGAATGGGGCTGGACAAAAGAAAGGTTTAACCATACCATTTCTTCTATTCCCAGTCCTAGCAGACATTTGAGTTTACAAAAAAAAAAAAATCTGCACAAGCTGTAAATGTGAAAAACAGAGACTGAGAGGCTCAGCAGTACACAGAATTCCAGTGCTGGATCTTATTTTTTTGGCAGACATTGGCTAGGATGGCTTGTTTATTTTACCTTTTACATAGCCTTATTCCACATTTTAGTGTAAATTTTCCTTAAGCAGGAAAAAAAAAATAAAAATCATTGCTGTTGCATGAATTAGTCTTGGGTGCCAATGGACACGAATTGTGTTTAAAAGGAAGAATTCAGCATAAAAAGCTCTTCAGGTTTAACCTTTTCCTCTCAGAAATGGCATTACAAATGATTAATTTAATGGAATGAAGGAGAAGATCACCTTTTAAGTAATTTTGAGGATCAGATCTGTGTTCCTGAGGCTTTTTGCACAGAAGGTTGTGTCAGAAGTGTAGCCCAGGCTCTGCTGTGGGCATTTCTGTACATCTCAGTGCAGTTAGGCTATAACAGCAGGCCTTGGTGTGACAGAGTGGTAACTGTCACATCTGTTTTCCAAGAAAGTTGTTTCGTCCAGTCTTCAAGACAAACTTTGAATTCTGAGGCAGTTTTATATATCCCTAGCACTCAATGGGCAGCACCATTCCTGAAGGAAAAAAAATGCTTCAATCCTCCTGTGTGTTGGACCTAAAAGCCCTCCAGGCAGTCTGCGGGACTCTGCCGCAAGTTGCAGATGTGGATTCCTCAGCCTGAAGAAATTGCTCTAGATTACAGAATACAGACAAATGTTGATTAACCAAATGTGCCTACAACACACAAAAGTTCTCTAAGAATATAAACTAACTTCCCAGTCTCCTCCCCTGGTGTCGCACTAATAGCTCAATTCTCTAAGCAGACCTCTGCTTAATTTCACAGCCACTGCTTCGGTGGCTGTTCCAGTTTGGTTTATAAGCTGTGTTATACAGAAAATGGTCACCTGTGCGTGCTGTCTCTGCACGTGCTGGGGCTCAGTCACGTATTTTGCCCGCATCAGTTTCTTCCACAGTGTTGCCTGGTTAGTGCTTGCAACAACCATCCTGTGGAAAGTCTCTTCCAGCTTGCTGGAACACACAGGATGCTGATGACCATCTTAGAGTGTAAAGGGGATGTTTGCAGTGGTACTCGGTGATCTGTTGAGGATCAGGTTCCTAGTCACGCCAATGAGGATTGCAGGATTGCAGGGAAGTGCTTGAATAAAGAAAATTCTCCATTCTGGCAGTCAGACTGGGGAAATGCGTGTTTCCTTGCAGCCCTGCTGCAGCTTGCACAATCTCTTCCATCTCCAAAACACTGCCGTGACTGATGCCAATGAAAATAACAGGCAGAAACATTTTTAACATTTATGCTGCTCATTTGCAATTCAAGTATGGTGAACTCCTGTGTGCTGAAAAGCAGGGAGCAGAATATAACTGACCAATCTGTTTATCAAGACTGTAGGGGTTATTTACCATCCCTGAGATTTAGAGGATTGTTTTAATGTTATTGATCAGCATTTCCAAAATGGTGTTGAACTGTAGCTTTCCTATTGTGATAAAGATGAACAACTACGATCTTGATACTTTCTTTGTTAGCAGGTTGGCGCCACTTATCAAAAGGCATGGGACACCAAAGAAGGCTGTAAGAATGTGTTCACAATAGCATAAGGAGGAATTTTGTGTAGTATTTCCTAGACACAATGTTCCTGAAGAAGTGAAAAATTTTACTTTATTATTTCATAAAACTTACCTATATGTGTATAATAGAGTCTGGTTTTAAGTATTGGTTTGTTTGAGCAACTGCTTTTAGGTTTGGGATGAAGTATAATGTGATGTGATAGCATGTCAGTGGGCAGTATTAATCTCTGCATAATTTTCCATAAAGGGTATGGAACTTGACAGAAATGTCCTTTTACAATCCCTTATAATGAAGGGGGAAGCTTGGCAGCTGATTTTCCCAGTATGTGGATTATTTTTGTTTTCAAAAGTTAGCTGTCACATTTCACTGTGGTCTTTCTTCTCTTCACAATCCTGAAAAACAGATTATTCAATCGCTAGCATAAAGTTTAAGTCCAGAGATGACTCTTACAGTAAATACCAGTGTGACATTTAATAAAAATTCTTGCCTAAATATATCTGCAATAAATCTTAGATCCTATAGGTATGCATATGTATGTATTGGTACTAGAGGATGATGTAATTGGGGGTTGAGCACCGTGTTCCAAAAAAGCAAAGCCATGTAAACTACTCATCACCTCTTCATCATCTGAGCATATGCAGACACCTACCATTTTTGTGACACTGTTTTAATCCTATGTGGAATGTCTTCATGAAGGCAGCTGCATTTTTAGAATACATGGAAGATTACTGAGCTCAGCACAGAGCTATTTCCAGTCAAGAATGCAAAACAGCGGAGATGGTTATTGTCCACCTCTTTCCTAATGGCCATATATTTAGAGGATAGAGGATTTGGTGAGGAAATTAGACTTTCAGCACTGTCAGACAACAATTCCCACTTATTAGATGACAGATTTCACCTTAGTGGCATGAGTGGAATCATGACACATCCTCTTCCATGGTATTCAGAGTTGATTTATAGTCTCTACCATGCTTGCACAGGGCTGTTTTCCTTTCTATGACCACTTAAAATGCCATTCTCCTCTAGTTTCTGTGGAATTTGAGGTTTGTAGTAAGGAAAGGGATAATTTTAACACAAGAACTGAAATTGGGTCTGACTGTTGAGTAGATCGAGAAGAATATCTCTAGTGCTATTTTTCCATGGGTCTTTAATTTCTAAGATAAAAAATATATATCTATTCTCTGGTACAAACTTCTCTTGCATCCTTCAAATAGCTATTCTGTTAGGAGTTTTAAAGCACACAGTACTTTTCAATTCATTCAATTCAGCATGCGGGAGAAGTGCATATCAAATTTAAGGACCAAAATGAAATCATCAACCACTTACAAGGCAACATTGGCAAGAAAGCATTTACAGCTTCTTGTCCTGAGAAATACAGAGCACTGAGAAGCTACTGGGTTAACTTGTCCCAACACAGAGCAGAAGCCCCTGGAGTGAATCCAGCATTACTTATCTAGGAGCTGTGTCCATGTGTTTGATTGGTGTCTTGTTTTGGTTTTGTTTTTCCACAGGAATCATAACTCATTTGTACAAACAATCCCTTGACCACAATGAATACACATACCAGGATTTATAACAGATAAATTAAATGAGATGTGCTCAGGGGACAGCAAAGCATGCAGTAGTAGAAAGGAAAAGAAGTACCCTTTTCATTCTGCCTGATAAGAATGATCACTCAGAGCATGATATAATTTTAATTTCGAAGTTATCCAAATACCCACATCAAAAAAGGAAAACAAAGAGAAAACAGGTCATTATGGGCAAACTGGTATCACAAATGCTTTGGTATCTTGCTTTTGTGAGTTGCATTCAATATCTGATCATACAGCATACAGCACCAAAGCACACAGCATTTATAAAGATGTCATTAAAGAATGTGACAGTCTAGGCTGCAGGAGACAGAAAAAAACCCTGTTTCCACTTAATCATTTGCCTGAATCTTATATGACTTTTTCCAGGGCAAGAAAAACAATGACTGTTAAACAAGTTGCAAGTGAGCTGCTGCTCAAAGAAAGGGATGCAACTCTATATGGCATCCTTAAAAAATAAAAGCGAAGAAGTTGTGATCTGCTGCAGGGAGCTGAGGCTGCATGTTACTCTTCAAATGAATTTAGGTAAATTTAATTTATCAGTAAATCAGCTATGATAAGATGCTGGAGAAGGATAACCAGGTTATAGGTGTGGGTGGGAATAATCAGCACAGCAAAACAAGCTGGTTGGGTATGTGGAGAAGTCCAGAAGTTGCTGGACAATACTGTGAGATACTTCATCTAGCTGAAGTACTGTATAAACTTGTGTCACATGCTATTGATTGGGCAGAATTCAAATGTTGAAAAGTCTGAGCTGTGGCAGAGTCTCTGGATTTGTGTGATTGCCAAAAAAAACCCCAGTGTGGAACACTTGGTAGCATCTTAACCTCTATTTTCTGCTTGTTATGACTACGTGATGCTGCTTCATGGCCTTTTTGAGATTATTTGAAGGACTCTGGAGAAGGGAGCCTGAATGGCATATGGCATTGGAATGGACCCAGCAACTGCTAGAAGATGCAGGAGGATTCACAGGGGAGGAGAAGTGCAGAGGGCAATGGAGAGAAGCCAAAGTGAACAAGCATGGAGTGCAAAGAATGAACAGAGGGATACGATTACGTACCATTATGGTATAGTTTAGGATGTTACCTAGCGCTGCTTGGACCTGTGGGAATCTGAAGAGTGCTCTTTGCTTAGCATGGCGGACCTGCTTGTCTAATTATTTTATCTGTGGTAGTTCTAGAATACAAGTAATGTGCAAGCTGTACTGCAATGTGGAGAAAAGCAATAAAGGCAATTCATCTGCTGGATCTGCAGATGCTCATGCCTGAGGTCCCTCATAATCTGGTATGTGCCTGGCAAGTGAGGAGGAAGTGTAGTAAAGAAGAGTCATAGTGCACCTGGTTCCATGGTTCAAACAGCTACAGCTGTCAAACAACAGTGATTCTTGTTTTGGAGTTAGCTTGGGTTAAAACTCTTCAGGCCTACTTGCCTGGAGCAAGCCTCCAGGCTCCAGTGCTGTTAGGAATTTGTAGCTTAAATCTCCTTGGCAGCAGTTGCCATTTTTCAGCTTTTGTGGCAGTGAAGCAGGTTCCTGGGAATGGTAAGGGAAATCTCAGAAGGTATTTGTGAGACACCTGGGAGATACCTGTGGGGATAGGGAGGAAATCTGTGAGAAGCCAGCAGGATGTCATGGATCTGTGGTAGATCTGCAGTGAAGGGGAGGCTTTGCTCGGTTTCTTTCCCTTCTCTCAATGTGTTTTCATATTTTCCTCCTCAGGGGTGACTCCTCATGCTCTTGGGAGATTCGAGCTTTTTTTCTGAAGCCCACAATTGTCTACTTCCCACCTTATAGCTGTCTTCCTCTATCAAGTCAATTGTACCTAGAAAAAGCTTTTTGTACCTTGTGGCTTTGTTGTAGCCACTAATTATTCTCTGCTGAAAAGAAGAGGATGCTGGTGTGGCTACCATTATGGAGCAAAGAGGAGGCAGAAGGTGAGTGGGGATTATTTAGGCCAGAACAGCAGGTTCTGTATCCCGAGGCACAGTCCCTTACAGTCTTCAGCTGCCCCTGCTGGGCTGCTCTCCACTCTCAAGTAGTAGAACTGATGTCAGAGGCTCACCATTCAATCTTCCTTATGTTGCTATGTAGTTGTCAGGGATTAACTTTTGTTAGTAAAGCATGAACAGGCAAGTCCTATTAAGAAAACTTGACTGGTAGAAGTAGCTGAACTAACCTGATACAAGAGTACTTGCCCAGTGACTCAATGTACCCCTCATCAAGCAACACTTTAGAATGAACCACCAACCAGTAAAACTCAGCCAACCTGGATGGTGCTCTCCGCCTCATGATACTCATCTACCTCAACCTGAAGGGCAATAACAGAGCCCTACCCTCAGGAGTATCAGGGACCAAGCCTGTGTAGCTGGAACCAGCACAATAAATGCTGCTCCTCTCATCTATTGACAATCACTGTTCCTGTCAGCAAGGAGAGGGGAGGTAGAGATAGCCATTCTTCTGTAACTTTGTAGTGTCCTTTGCATTATTAATCACTCTTTCATAGAGGTAATGAATAGTCACACTCCTTCCCACATATCCAATTATTGCACAATAATTAATGTGCAATTCAGCCCATCCTGACCTAAACCACAGGATGCCGAAGTCTCTTGAGTCAGTTCAAGACTGTCTTGTAGGTTTCTAAACCAGGATCAATTAATGGTAGGTTTCTGCACACTCTCTGCAAGCTCCTTCCCAGTTCCTGCCCTTTGCCTTTGAAGTCTGTTTTCCAGTGCAGTGGTGATCAGACAGCAGTGGCTATTGGATATGTCAGGATCATAGCTCAGTGGAAAGAGCCCTGATGGACACTCTAGCCTCTTCTGTCTCTACACCTTTGTGTGTAAGCAGAGGTTACATTTATATAGCTTTGCATCTAGTTTAAACGTGCAACAATCACTTGCTAACCGAATGTGCAGGGATGGAATAAAACACTTCCCTCTTCATTCCAAATCTGTTTCTTAGCCAAACTAAAATCTTGGCCAGTTTATGTATCTACCTCATGGATAATGTCCGCTGTCTCCTAGCATAAACAAACCACAGCAGTATGTGTTTCCTGCTAATTACCCTGACTTAAATGACTAATCACATCTTCATTCACCTTCATTGCCTTTGGTCTTCTTGTAACCATGCATAGTGTAAAACTGAATGATTTTCCCACTAAGTTATCCTGAAAATAGTGTTCTTGAACAATAGAAAGTTACCTGGACTTACAGCTTTATTAATGAAAGATGAATTTCAGTGGTTGGAGAAGCTCTTTGTTCTCTTTCCTGGTTTTCAAGGAAGCTGGTTCCTATCTTTGCTCAGAATGCTTCCATAGTGGCTTGTCTATTTGAGTTTCAACTCACTCTTCAAAATGCTTTTTTTCTCACTAGTCTTGAAGTCTGAATACTTCTTTACAAACAGGTAATGTAGGACATTTTAAATATTATCCTCCCAGTCATTCTCCAAAGGTATCTGTCATGATAGGCCTATCATGGCTGGAGTTTAGTTGCAGGCATTCCAGGATTTGCACTCATCATAGTAGCTACTTCATAAATACCATCTCTTTCTACCTCTGCATCTACCTCTCCTTTTCCTAATAATTAAATTGCAAAATCTTTGTGACTGAGAACCTTGTCATATTGCTCTGTACTTAGAGAGATGTCTATTACAAGTGGCTTATCATTCATGACTGGAATTCCTAGGTGTTACAGAAATATACATTTTTGTAAAAAAAATTTTAATCATGTATTCATTCAAAAATACCATGTGTTTTAGGGGAATATTTTAGGATATTTTACTGGAATATTCCTGAAAATACAAAATGTCAGCAATTCAGGATTCTATCCATAAAATGGTTTCTCTATCACTCAAATTGCCATGAAGTTCTTTTTTTTACCTTGTTTGTAAAGCCAATATTAAACACTTTTAGTGTTTATCTGGACCCTCACCACAAGACCATAAACTGGACCAACCTTCCCTGTGGAAATGCAGTGATATTAGGACAGTGCAGTTTCAAAACCTCAGCAACCATGTATTCTTTTAGATACTTAAAGTAATAGATTTTCTAAGCTGTATAATCTCACCAGATTCTTAAAGGACACCATCTGTCTGTACCATCACAAAAGTCCAAGTATGCCCTCCCCCTCCCAAAAAATGCAAGATGTTTTTTAATCATAACTTGAATGTATTTTCACGATTCAAGAAATTTAACAATGCTTTTTGAAGATGAAAGAGCATCAGCAAAATTGAGAAAGCAGATTGTGGGACTTTCATCCCTAGACCTGTTGGGAATGTGTAATTTGAACAATGTTTCTCCTTTGTTTCCCCAACTCAGGAACACTATTCTTCCTGTACTACAGACAAAAATCATAATACAGATGTCTCGATGTACTGTGGGACTAACAGGGCAGGATAAAAAAGTTAAATATTTACAGCTGACCAAGTCCTACTCTTGTTTGTACCCAGGATGGCAAAGGAGCCATTCTCTGAATGTTGTTTCTGGTCAGAGAGTCTTCCTACGCTCTCGGACACCATCACTCCACCTCCTTTTTCAACAGTACCATTAAATTGTGTGCTGGCATGGGTTTCTGTGGAAATCCCTCATGCACATAAATGAGTAGAATGATAATGACAGCAAAGTGCCTCAAGCTGAAGTATCAGCATGCAGTTTCACAATTAGCCTACATTGCTCTCAGTTTGTTTTGCCATATCCTTCCTCTGTGCTCCACACCTGCCAGCAGCAAAAGTGGTCCTACAATTACATACAAACTGATCAGCCACCCTATTTGGCAAAGCCATCTGATTTTGGAGAGGGGAGTCTGTTTTCCACTTAGGCAGGTCCCTTGCCCCCTACACAGCCCTGTGAGAGTCAGCACCAACATGCAACAAGGGGCAGGGGCAGGACATAAGGTCATCCGTGTCTTTAGCAGCAATGCAGATGACTTAAGTTGGTAAAGACTCACATTAGAAAAGGCAATAGAACAGACTGATAAAAATTAATTTAGAAATTGCCAGGTCTTGACAGTATCTATTCCACAGTTCCAGCATGGTTAAAATATGAAACTGCTCTATTGCTTTTTGTGGTGCACCATTTGAATTGGGTGCAGGAATTGAAGGTGGAGGGTTTGGAATATTTTTGGCTAGCATAAGCCAGTATGTCTGATTTCTGTACCAAGAAAATAAACTAAAACTGTAACTAAAATGAGAACTAGTGTGTACAGCAGGTGGATAGAATATGAAGAGCCGGTGTGGCTTCATCACAGGGAAGTTGTACTTTTTGGAGTCCTTTATGCTGAGTGTATGAAAGTAAACAAGGAGCTGAGAGGTGATCCAGTTAGGCTTTCAAAATACTTTTGACCAGGTCCCTCAGTAAAAGCTCATAAAAAAATGTCTGTTGGTTAGTAAATGTTTAAAAGCTGTGCAGCAATGGATAAAAATACAAGTCTTTTCACAAGAAAGATTTGTTGCAATTTCACTGTTAGTAGCCTTTCATTACCCAGTGAAAAGATGAAGAATACAATATGGTGATGAGGTTTACTAACAATACTAATACTAAAATCAAAAGCCAGCTATGAGGTGTTGCAGGAGGACACCACAAATTGCTGAATGAGGAAAGAGCTAACAAAATAAGGTAAACATAAGCAAATCTTAACTTTTCAATACAGACTAATGGTTTCTAAACACCACTAACATTCAAGAAAGAGGTTATAGAATAATTTTGACCAATTTGATTAAAATCGTCACAGTTCAAAGGTAAACCACAAGGAAAGAAACTGAAATTAAGTGGAAAACATTGTTAAAGCATTTTACTTTTCTCTATCTCATATTTTTCTAGGTTACAAGGAAGATCAAGAGGAATGATCAAAGGTATGGAACATTTCCATCTGAGGAGATAGTAAATGAAAAGTAAACAGACCAAGATGTTTCTATTTGGAGAAAGGGTAATTGAGGTGATACTATGAAGGAAATCTATGAAATGGTGAATGGTATTAGAGCAGATAGAGAGCAATCACATATAACGTCTCACAATAACAGAATTTAATGGGAGTCTATGAAATTGTCATTTGGCAGGTTCGAAACACAAGGAAGTAATTTTTTTCCATAAAATAGAATTGAATGTCAAATACACTTGTTGTTATGGTAATAGAAATGAGAATGGGTTAAAAAAGGAATCAGAGCCATCTTGGAGATGGACTCTTCAAACCTATTGAAGACTATTATGCAGTGGTCTAGAAAGAAATCTCCATCTTACAATTATTTGGAGGTAGAGGATATGCCCTGGAAAGAACAGATTTGTATGTCTAATGAGCTTTTCATAAGCACCCACAATTGGCCACTGTGGGGAAGAGGGAACTGAGCTACAAAGACCTCTGGTCTGTCCAAGTACATTTTAACTTCTACTTTCCAAACACAGTAGGTTACTTTCATGAGGCTTCTAATATCAGCCACATAATGTGAGGTTAGCACAGGTAGACAATATTTTAGATATTACATCTAACTCCATATTGCCTTGATTAACAGCTATGAAATATCCAGAGGATGTTATCCTGCATCATTCAAGTGGAAATGGTCTTATGGCATGGATGCAACAAAACCTATATATGAGACCAGAGCACTTTCTCCTGGTAAACACCATGCCATTTGTTTTTATCAGGCACTAATTTGGGGGAGAATTAATCTTTGTAAAGTTACTACATCCTAGTTTTGTCAAACTATAGAACTGGGGGCTTCTTCAATTATACAAATATTGCTAAACGTTTAATCTAAACATTTAATTTCAGATATTCAGTCTGGTGCATACTAAAAAAATGACTATCCACCAAACTTGGAGCATTAAATGGAGACTGTATTTTTGGCAGCTCATCATAGAGGGATTAATATTACTGGAATATCTTTGTTTCTCAGCAATGCCTCCTTAAAAACAGCTTCCTCTGAGCACATATTTCTATTTTATTGAGAAAAGGAAATACAGTATTAGAAATCAATGTTTTTAAAGCGTAATTTAAAGAAATCTATCTTGGCAGATGCTGAAATATTTTCAATTTAGAACAAATAGTATTTCTGTCATCCAGTTGGATTTTTTAAATTAGACCATTACTCCTTGATAAGTTAATTACAAAACAGAAAGAGACTCAACCAATCTAAAAAAGCGTATTGATGAAAGTATAGAGCACATGTCTGAAAGCTGGTTTTACTGATTAATGGCTGAAATTTTACTTTTTATATGAAAAAACCTTGTCTCCAACGTCTTAAATCATAGGAAAAAATGCTCAATTTTTCACGCTATCACAACTAATTTTTTACATTGGTACACTGATGAACTATTGTTTTCCTGTGCTTCCATCCATTACTAAAAGTGACAGCATCATAATTGAAATTATTTAAAATATGGTGCATTTAGATAATTCTTTACTTCGGTATAAATATGACTACACAAGAAATGCTGCTACTGGAAATTGCTAGGATGAGCTACCAAAATGGAATTATTGCTCAGCAGGCCATATTCCTCTGGGGGTAGGAAATGAAAAAATATCAGAACTTCCTTTGAAATGCAAAAAGGTTAGAGGAATGGAAGGAACATTTTTTGTTGTGTCTGCGATGAAGACAAGGGAAACATGGAAGGGAAGTATGTTGCAATCATGGGTTGAAACGTCTCCAGGTCCTTCAGCTGAATCCTGGTCTCCCCAAAATCCCTGACAAGTTTTTCAGCTTGGTAAAACCACAATTTAACCCCAAGGATTTTGGGCTAAAAGGAAGTAAAACTCACCAAAAAAATTGCACTGGGTGATTAGCTAGGTAATCTCTGCCCATGGATGTCCCTGTAACTGTGTTGCATGGCTGCATATTGTGCTTCTTACAGTAAGAACTTGCCAAGGTGCCCAGTGGGAATCCTTCCTGACTAGTGCTGGGGTCTGAGCCAAAATTGTGACAGGTATCAGTCTAAGAGTTTAACAAAATGAATAGTGGCAAGCCAGAACCCAAACTAAATGCCATCTATGAGTAATGTACTAGTATAGAAACTGTTCCACAGAGCCAACAGATGTTGCTGTCCTAAAGTGAACAGCAGATTCAGCCTTTTCAGATACTGTAAAATTTTATAGAATTTCAAAGACCTGGCCAACTGGTGAAAAAGAACCTGGTGAGCTGCAGAAAAATGCAGAAATAACAAATCTGGATTATGGGAGATGTTGTATCTATGAAACTATACAGTATTTGAAAATACTAAATTGGCTTGTCAACTTTGGGGCAGCAACATCTTGGGGTAAGAAAATATTTATCATATTATAAACACATTCAACAGAACTGGCCCTATAATTGAACCTGGTAGAACACTGCTGATGATTGGTCACCATCCAGTTTTAAGTATGCCCCTTTAACAATAACCCTTAGACTGTTCAATTGCAGGTGAAATCATGAGAAATTTTAATAAAAAAGTGTTTGCAGAAGACTTCTATACCTCAAATACAGGGAAAAAAAGAAAAGAAAAAAAAAGGTATAGGATACAATAAAAACCCCTATTTTCATTATACTGTCCAGTGGTAATTTTAAAAACCCAGAACTTTTGAAAAAACAGGCAGTCTTTTTAAATTACATGTGAAGTCTCCTTTATACAAGGCTTTCCATATTATTGCTCACATCAATACTTTCTCAGATAACAGCAAGCCAGAAATTGCAATATTGCTTTCCTTCCTAAATGTGGAGCAAAATTTCGGCACATACTATGCCGTGGTTGTACGCCTTCATCCCCTCCTTCTGATAAACAGCAATACAAGTACCACTGTAAAGTTTGTAACTTTATGCTGTTACATGAGAATAATCTAGGGACACAATTATCTCTATTATCAGAAAGTATCCAGCTGTGTCCACCATCCTTTCCAGATCCTTAGCCACATCTCAGTTTACACTGTAATAGGAGATCTAAGATTGGCCAGTCTGACCATTTCTTTGAAAGTTGTATAGCAGGTAAAAAAAGAACATATTTTACCATGTATACCTGCAATTATGAAAGTAATTAAGTAGCACAGGTGAGCCCAAGAAGCCCCTCAAATAAAATCCCTGATAATCACAATGTTATTGTGATTATCTGCCTGTCTTAGTAGGTTTTGTGTTTATTGCATCTGCCCTGTGTGCTAGGGATGACAACCCATAATTTGACAAAAAATATTTTAAATTATTTCTTGCTGAGATAAGAACTTATTTTCATTTTCCCCAGTTCTTTCTTTCCTTTGCTTTTAATTACAAACATTCATGGCACTGAGAGACAAAGTAATGATCTTCACTCCTTCTATTTAAAGAAAAAACCTGTCTGGTGATGTTTGTTTTATCTTTACCTTACAAAGTGACGTAGTCTAAGGACCCTGAAGGACAGGCATGTCAGCTCTGCAGTTTTGGTTTGGGATTGTTCCAGGTTAGATGACTTTTCAAATACCCCTAATTACAACTGTGGAACAGTGTGCATTTTGATACAAATTAAATCCCTGTCTATAAGTGTGGAGTTCTAATTTCCACAGAGGAAAAATGCAAGTCAGAAGTTCTGTAAGAAAAATAAACATAGGCTGCATTGAAAATTGGACTTTGGATCATTATTCAGTGGTTCACATTAACATGCATTAGGGAAGTTACTGTGAACATGGTAGCAGCATTGTGAGTCCAGGTTCCAGTTCTGTCACTTGCTTGTGGCTTTTCAGCAGGAGTTTCTTGAGTTGAGCACATTGAGCAATGTGCAAGGTCAAGTGGGGAGTGTTACTGAAATTCTGTGTTGGGGACTGTGCCTGGCCTAGGAGGATGTGGCTATGTCCATTATCAGGGATTTGACTCCTTTATTTATCATAGTTATTAATGTACCAGCTCAAGAGGTCAAGTGACTTACATGAGAATCTCAATTTTCATTTGAAGAAAAATGTGTCCCTAGACTTGTGCTTATGGAGAAATCTTAAAAATGTAAATCTGCAAAGTCTTATGAAGTAGAATGATACTTTAAAAAAATCATTAGAAAACACACTAAACATGAAGAGTTTTTGATCTGATGTTATGATCTGGTGGATGAATTCACGACTTTTGAGTCAGGGATATAAAAGTTGAGGACAGACAATAGAAAAAGGAGTCAATCTTCCAAAACACTAATTATTTAAAGAGATGTTCACACGTGTTTAAAACTTGAGATAATATTTCACTGTCTGCTGCTGTAGACTGTGATCTTTCTGGCTGTTATCTCACTTCAGTCAGCTGAAATTTTACTGACCAATAGCTTGACATTTGTTGTTGCAAAAAGCCACCATCTGTCCATGCAGCACAGAATTGCTCTTGCACAAGGGCCTCAAGACCTGCTTCAGGGCTGCTGCCTCTCACCAATCAATTAAATACATTTATTTTTATTTTTAAAATGAACCCAGATTTTACATGAAGTATGGGAGAGCTGTGTGATACAGTTTGCTGTGCGAAAACTATCAATGGTCAGGCCTGAAATAATGTTTTGTTTAGAGTTTGTTCTGAATAGTGAAATGCTGGAACAAAATGTGAGGTAGTTTACTGAGCTTTCAACTACTACAAAGAGCTAGTAGAAAGAAAAGAGGCTGAAGAACTTGACTGAGTGTGAGATCTCCCTGGGTAAATTTTCACATTTGCCCCAACTCCAGCTTTTTGCAGGTGCTGAGTCTCTTGGCACACGTCTCTAACTAGTCTGTTACTGTAAGCATTCCTGTTCCATCTCTGAGTATCCTGTCAAGGGCTTCCCACAGACTTAGTGACAGAAGCATGGGCTACAATTATGGTACCTTGCACAGTGAAGATACCTTATTTTTAATTTTCTTATTTTTCTTTTTTTTTTAGTTTTCTTATAAGCACTTGACATTGCTGGCCAAGTATGAAGAGAGAACTTCTCTACCAAACTCTGTGACTCCAAAATTCCCTTTTGATCAGCCAGTGGTTATATTTTGAAGGGAAGGACACAGCTATTTCAAAAGTGAAGTTTAGCAGTTCTTCATAAATTCCTTTAATTTCACATCCTTTGACGTCAGACGAAATCTCAGTATTTCAGAAGTTTCCAAAAATTGTTTTCTAAAAATCACAGAATTAGAAAATTCTCTTTTAGTGACCATACATCTGTACTTTTCACTTTGAACCAGCTCTCTGTGGTTCAGCTTAATTTGTTTGGTTCATCTATCACTGATAACACCCTGGTGTCCATTCATGGCCAGCTGGGTATTAATAATGTGAGAAGATGTATAAACACACTTAGCAAAATTATGTTCTGTCCCAGAGACAATTGTTGTTGAAAACAATCCTAAAAATTACTGTAAACCTGAGAAAGGAAGAGGATTATTGGTCAATACACTACCATAAAACACAATAGGCTGTCTTTAGCTTGGCAGAAAGTTATCTTTTGTCACATATTTGCAGCCTTAGGGTTGCAGCTGTACAATAAGAGATCCTTATTTGCTTCTTACATTTATTAATATTATGTTGTTCTACTTGCATCACAGCTGGATAATGTTAGGAAGAATTTGGAAGCCTGCTGAACAAAACTCCCTGTGTTTTTCCACTGCGTGGGCTTCATCAAGGAGCAGTAAGTGGAGAGCTGAAAGGTAGAAAATAACTGTCTGAAAAAGTTGTGTGATAAAGGAAGACAGCTAAAGACAAATATTGGAGCTTTTAAACCCCTCCCACTTAGCAATTCTGTTTCTTGCATCTTCAGTTTCATCTGCTTCTCACAATCTGTCTATCCTACCAAACATGCCTACCTTTCTAAATTACCCCAGCTTTGGTAGGTAGCAGCAGCTGCAAGACCCCATAGGGTGTGATTATCTTTCTCCTGTTGATTATGTTTAAACATATGCTAAACTGTAAAGGTCATTCTTCTAGCATGACTCTGGAGTACACTTAATGATAGTCTTGTTACCAACTGACCTCCTGTACCTGACAGAGATTAAACATCTTGGGCAAATTTTTATTGCTTGAATCTGTGCCAAATCCTTTTAATACATGAAGGACTTGATCACTTTTAAACTTGTGATGAAGTACAAACAAGGTTCAGTTGTTTGATGCCAAGATGCCTGCTTGATTTTTGCAGTATAGGAAATAGAAATTCATAACCACTATGGGAAGAGCAAAAGAAAACATATCTGTGCAGATCTTTGTTGATAGCCTAATCTGATTCCTCAGTACATCCTGCATGGACAAGGCTGAGTGATGTTGCAGCAGCCAGCAGTACTACAGCCACACTACCTCACGTGATGAAAACACATTATCTGTTTCCGTGGCTTATCATCAGAAGCATAACCTCAGTTTTCAAAATAAGGGATATACTTTTTAAATATTCATATTGTGGAAATTAAAGTAAATTAAATCATGTTATAGTGTTGGTTTTAGCAACTTGTAATTACTCTTCCTCCAGCATAGTTAGACTTAAACATACCTGAAAAATCCCACTAAATCTACAGTGGGGCTATTTTCAGGGGTTTCTTTTATGCTCCATTGGCCATTAATATTTCATAGCATGTCACAACTGGCCATTCTGATTCTATTGAGCCTTGCTAAATGGGAATTTTTGTATCATTTAAGAGCAATTCATTGCACTGCCTGTAGTCTATATCATCTCCTCAGAAATAGGGATGATGACAGGTGATGTCTCAAAAGATAAGTAATCTTCCACTACATACCCTCTGTCTACAGTGAGTTCTCTAGATGTTGTACATGAGGTTCACCAGGAAAATTCATGATGGCATGTTACCTACTTTATTTATCCATTCCACTTGATACACCTACTAAAAATAGCTGTTCTTAGATGAGTGAGTCTTGCCCTCTCGCATGTGTCAGTCTGCAGGATCTAATTCTGTAGCTAATTTTACAAAACTGAAGAGTCATAAGATGAATGGGCTGCATTCACCTATTAACAAAATGGGAAACTATATCCTCCAGGGATATTTTTATGATTTAGAAATTCCTTAGGATAAATGTCAATTAAAAGGAAAAGGAAGAGAAAGGATTCCATACATACTTTCATGCTTATTTCCTCTTCTTCAGTGTTGTTTCCCTTTTATTGCATCTGTCCTCAGATAAGCCTTCTGTCACCAAACCAATTTTGCCATTTTGTATATATTTTCTTTTCTCTTCTTTACTTTTGCATATCTGTTGTGGTTTAACCTGGCAGGCAGCTAAACATTGCACAGCCACTCACTCACTCACTCTTCCCCATCTCAGTGGGATGGTGGAGGGAGTTGCCTAAGAAGAATATAAATCTCTCTGAGATAAAGACGGTTTCATAGGACAGAAAAAGAAAAAAAGAAAAAAAATATGCAAAACAAATGTTGCACAATGCAATTTCTTTCTATGCCCTGACTGATGCCCAGACAGTTCCTGAGTAGCAGCCCCTAGCCACCTTTCCCCCTAGTTTATATACTGAGCATGACACTATGTGCTGTAGAATGTCCCCTTTGCCAGTTTTGGTCACCTTGTGCAGTTTTCTCTCCTCCCAACCTCTTGTGCCCTCCAGCTTGCCTGCTGGTAGGGTGGTGTGAGAAGCAGAAAAGGCCTTCCTTGACTTCATGTAGCAACAACGAAAACGTCCCCGTGTTATCGACATCATTCTCATCCTAAATCCAAACTACTGCACTGTGACAGTTACTAGGAAGAAAATAAACTCTATCCCAGCTGAAACCAGGACAATGTGCTAGGTTGCACTACTACCATGTGAGATAATATTTCTACTTATTTCCAGGCATTCCCTGGATTTTTATTATTAATGACAATGAGATTGGGACCAAGTTCAGCATCAACCAATGGCTGATTAGTGGTCTTAGTATTTCTTAAAAAAATTAGCAGGTAGGTCAAATTTTGAAGGAGAGTGATTATAAAATTTTCTCACATTTTGAGCTTTTGTTGATACTTTAAGTAGAGAAAGTAGATGACTGAATTTAACAGCTTCTCACTTCTCACAAACTAGGATGGTTTTCTTTACACCATTACTGAAAACTGCACTGACAGGAGATCACAGAAAAGATTGCAAAACCTAAGCTTTATGTTTAACACTGGCTTAATGTTTAAGCCTGGTTTAACATTGGCAATAAATGTCCAGTGCACTAAGACAGAGAAGATGGGACAAATTGTGATTTTCTAGGCATAGGAACAAGGACAAAAGGAAAAATAGTCTTTCACCCAGTCTTTCCTTTCTGTGCTCAGAGGTAGGCTGTAGAATACAAGAAGTGATGAAAAACAGCAGCTGCAAACATACTGAGCAGGCCAGCCTTTCTTTAGAGGTGGTGCTGAGCAGGTCAGCAAAGGCTGCAAACTGAGGTGGGTTTAGGACAAGTATGAAGAGAGTACATCTGCAACAGTCACAAGGTCATGCAAATATCACTCAAGTATCCACGAATATTTGAGCTGCAACGCTGCCAGAAATTAAAGTGATTTTTCTTCCACTGTAATTCTACAGGTAAAAACACATTTTTGTATGTAGGGTCAATCCCCACAGGAAAGTTTGTGTTCCAAAGTAACAAAGAATGCCCTTTTCCTTAGTTTATCATGGAATAGAAGTGTCCACACAGGCAGCTTTTCATTCATAATTATATTGTAAGATTTTTAGTGGTTAACTTTTCCAGTGAGTCAAGTCTTAAAACTATTACTTTCTGGAAAACCCCCCAACCTTTGAGGAAGAACAGGAACAATATTGATATTGCTGTGGTCTGGGGATGGTACCCTTGTATGCAAAATCCATTGCCCTCTTTGGACAAATCTGGACCATCACACAAAGCACTATCAGCAATGAAAGCACTGTGATTAGCAATTTAGGAGAGAAATGTGATGCAATCAGAAAGGAACCCAAAGAAGCAACAAATATGGTAACCAGAAAATGATATATCAGCAGTACTATTTCTAAAAATAATGGTTTCCAAACTTTTCCACGAGGCATTAACAGCTCTTTAAGGGATAATCTTTATTGCTTTGTAATGTACAAAGCAATAAACAGCTGCTGAGATTGATTAATAGCCAAAGCAAAGTTGAGGCATGTAATCAATCTAAAAAGCCATTTATTGTCACTATACTACAAAGCAATGGAGATTATTGCTGTTGCACAACAAACCATAACAGAAAACACAGACACACACACAAACAGTTGTTTTCTTTTCAAGGCTTGCAGTGCTATGCTGCCTTTTCCTTGAGCTTTTCTCTTTAACAAAGGCAACTGACCTTACAGCAAGCAACGTACTGGGAAAAGTAATACTCTAAGAACTTCAGTGTTATCTAAAGGAGAAATTTTATAGCTTTTTAGTTCTGTAGCTAGAAATACAAAATTCCATGGGTATTCATCTTGTCTTTGGTAGTGGTACTGTTATTCATATTACCAAGAAAAACAAAAAATTAGCTTACCAGTCAAAAAATCATCTAATTCATGCAAATGCAGTGCTCTTTTAGAAACAAAGGCTGTTTACTTTTGTAGAGTATTTTTATGAATGGCTACTAAATCACTTCAATTTTTTTCACAGTAATACTGAATGAAACAACTGGCTTTCAGCTCCAGCTATTTCCAGCATCGTACTTTTAATAGAACTTTAATCCAACTATTAATATAGTTTGGTTTTTGACTCCTCCAGTCTTCCTGGGAGGCTGTTTCAGAATCTTACCTCTCTACTAGTTTTAAACCTTTTAAAAAATTTGCATTCTGATTTTTCCAGGTCAGATAATACACACTTCTTCCTGAACATAAAGTACTATTTGCTTTTTATCCCCTTTAAAGAGATGATATGAACAGAGTCTCTCACCCTTCCCTTTGGCAGAATAAACAAGCTATGCCACTGTAGCTTTATGGCATGATAGGCTTGCCCCTGGATCAGTCTCACCACCCTTCTCTACACTCACCCCAGTCTCAGTCTCTCTCTCCTGAATGTGGATGCTCTGGATGGCACTGAGCTACAGAGGGGCTCCCAAAACTGCCTTGTCCTCACATACACTTGCAATGTCTACTAGAAATATCTCACCCAGTAAATCCAAAGATCAAATTTGCCTTTTCCACATCCCTTTAACATTTGAAGCCAGTGGTTAACTTGCACTTCCATATAACTCGCATATTTCTGTTTCTGTTTCTGAACTGATGACCTTGCAGCTTATGACATAAATTTGTATTAGTACAGAAGGGCACAAGCTTGCAATTTGCACTATTAAGTTTCAGTCCATTTTTATTACTCTAGTTCTCAAGGTTATTCAGGTCTTCCTGTATCATATTGCCTTTCCTTATTAATGATATCTCCCACTTCCGTGTCATCAGCAAATTTTATTAACAAACTCCTTCTTCCTATTTTAAGGTAATGAATAAAAATATGACTGAAGATGTATCCTTGAGGAACTTTTTGTAAAATACCACTCAAAGTCAGGAATCACAACAGTAGGAACTGAATTCTCCAATTTCACATTTGCAGGAAATACAATTCAGATCTATGAAAATTAATTTTTAGATCCTAGTGGTTCTAAACTTTCCAAACTGTTATCTTCAAAAATCTGAAACTATTTCATATCTGCAAGTACCAAAAATTTAATAACACCTACTTAAAATAATAGAATAAGGATTGTCGTAAATACATGTCCATAACTCTTGACAGCTCTAAAAATTTGGGGTAAAAGAATTGTACTTATGATGTAGTCATCCCTTTGGCTGTTTCTAAGCATTTGACTTTGGTAGTTAAAGCAATTGTTTTAAAGTTATTATTGCCTTAGCAGTCAATTGTATCATTTATCCAGCTTTATATTTAATTTCTTATTACCTTCATACTATTCCTGCAAATCACAGCTTCCCTGGAGAAGACGATCTTCAGACTTGAGATGACATTCTCCATGATTCCTTTTCTCTGTGGGTCTGAGATGTCAAATTACCTCATGTTTCCATTTTCAGCAGCCATAGCATTCTTTCAGGAAATGCTGGACCTAGATTCATGACCTTCTTAGCCCTGCTTTACTTTTTATCCTTTTATTTTTTTTTTTTCCCAGCTGGAGTGTTCAGTATCAGCAAAATCAATGAAAATCTTTTTGATAATTAGCAGTGATATTTCTTTTGCTCCTGCTGGAATTTATTTGCAGAGGGATTGTCACTGAAGTACATGACCTTTTGTCAAAATTTTCAAAGAAAATTCCCACTTGCAGCAGGCAGACTGAAGCTCGTACCTATCTCAGCTGTGTCTAACCCTACACTTGCTCATTGTGCTCATGAGGCGTCCTGAGGCTGTGCACACTGCTGCTGCTGCTGCTGCTGCTGGCCATGTTTGAACTAGAAAGTTCTACTGGCAGAAGTTCTGCTGGCATGTGCTATTCACATAGCTGTTTTGGCAGGATGTGTTCACATTTGGCTGTTTTTAAAGAAGCAGTATATCCTCAGATCATCAGGCTTTTATCAGCAAGAGAAATCTGGTGGATCTATGGGAGGCTAACCCAGAGTACCTTGTGCTACATTTTATAGATTGCTTTCTGGTAATTCTTTGCAGCATGCTGTGGAGTTGCACTGTGAGATATAATGTCCCATCCTAAAACCTGTGTAAATATTGGGTCAGATTTAAAAATGCTTTTCTATCTTGTACGATAGCCTATTTTTATATGTGTTGTTTCTCCATATTGCAGATTCCACTACCAGTAACCCAGACTGTATCCAGCAGCAGAGCTCTCTTGTTCATTTAGAGCAGATGAAAGAATCCTTTCATATCCAAAGAGGAACTTAAAATATTGGGTACTGGGAGCAAGTGGAACGTAGAGACAATGAATGGTAGCTAACTATTTCCAGTAAGTATTTGCTAAACCATAAGAACAAATTGTAGTTTTGAGACATACTGTAAACACTGGACGAGGGAAAATTTCAGAGTTGGATGTAAAGTTTGTGTTATCCTTATAGCACATGCACTCTGAGTTAAGAGCTGCTTAAAGCGAAGACAGTGGGGAAATAGGTGGTGCCAGCATTCTGGTAAGCAGTGCCAATCTGGGCATTTTGGCATGATTTGAGGTGCTTGGACTCCAGTTAGATACACAAAGTTAAGTATTTCCTGCTGCACAGCCTTTTCATGCTGGGTAATGTACTGGAAATCAGAGATGAACCTGATACAATGAGCTTTGCTGATCGTGGTGGAAAAGTAAATAAAGTTTATGCCCAACTCAGTCCCATCTTCTTTTGAATGCATAAAATGAAAGCAGTGCTTCTCTGTGGTGATCCCTCTAGAGAGTATTTTATATCAACGTTGTTTGTGAGAAAGCCCATGCTTTCCTTCCCATCTATACGGTTGTCATTAATAGAGCTGCAAAGCTAACCCTGGCAGCAAAGACAAGGCAAATCTGGTTGGAAAGGTGTTTGTTAAAATAAAAATGCTGTAACTGGACAAAAATAACACCAACCCACAAAACTTTAATTTAATAGTCTCCTGCAAAACACATGAAGAGTCTCATTGGGTCCCTCCATTTGAGTGGAGTTTCATCCTGTTTCCTGAAGTCAACACAGAGGCACTGGCAGGGCTTTGTGTTTTTCCATAACGTCTCCAAATATTTGAGCCAAGTGGATTCCTTAGATAGCTATCATACATGGAGAATATACAGATGGATGGAAAACACATGGAGCTTAGAGACCATATGTAGGCATGGAACCTGCTGGACTTGTGCATAACCACATGTGTAAGGCAAGTTCCAAAAAACAAGTCTGACATGTTATGGACCTGCAGCACCTGTGGTCTGCAGGCAGCCTCTGTGAAAACAGGCTGAGAGAGTTGGGGTTGTTCAGCCAGTAGAACAGAAGGCTTTGGGGAGACCTTATAGCACTTTCCAGTACCTAAAGAGGGCTACAAGAAATCTGGAGAGTGACTTCTTTACAAGGGTATGTAGTGACAGGATAAGGGGGAATGGCTTTAAACTGGAAGAGGACAGGTTTAGATTAGATATTAGGAAGAAACTCTTGAGGGTGGTGAGACACTGGAACAGGTTGCTCAAAGAAGTTGTGGAAACCCCATATCTGTGAGTGTTCAAGGCCAGGTTGGATGGGGCTTGGAGCAACCTGGTCTCGTGGAAGGTGTTCCTGCCTATTGCAGGGAGTTGGAACTAGATGATGTTTAAGGTCCCTTCCAACCCAAACCATCCTATGATCCTATGACTTTTTGAACTTTGGCTGAAAACTAGTATTTCAGCAATCTTAACATGCCTTCCCATCAGATACAATTTGACAGAAGAATCTGTTTGGAGGAAGGGCAAGGAATACTGATGTATATACCTTGAGAAAACAAATAAGATCACCATGTTAATTCACTAGCTCTATTCAGTGAATCCCCTTCCTCAGTTTGATATATGTGTGGTTCAGTGAGATTCCTAATGGGTTCTGTATCTCAACAGATCTTTGGCTTTATCCACATCTCTGTGCCCAAAAATTCCTTCCAATTTAGTCAGTTCTTGGTATTCTTCACCACAGGCTTCTGTGAATTTTAAGTGCAGTGTCTGAGCTCAGTACGCTCCATAATGAATGCACATCCATCGTAAGTTGTGCACAACAAAATGCTCATGAAAGAAACACCTTTGACCACTAAACTGAAGGTTGTGCCTCCTGAGGGAAAAAAAGGCCCTTTCTTTTTCCCCTTTCACTGCTTCTTAACTTGCTTTCACTGGTTCTTAACTTGCTCTTTAGGCTTTACACTGCATTGCAACCTTCAGTGACCTTCACACTTTTCTTCCAAATTTATTTTTTCTTCAAAAAATGCTGTTTCTCCACTATTTCTTCTTGCCTGGCCTGAAGAAATTTGGGTCTTAAATTAAACCAGCACCAAAGTCATGGGGAGCTCTGTTCATCTAGCTGTGTCAATAGGCAGAGTAAAAGCAGGCATTTCACTAACATGCCAGGGATTTCCAGTCACTGGCAGAGGCAGCAGAAATATCAGGAAATCAATGAAAACAATCACTGTTGTAGGGATAATCGCATAGTGGGCGTTCAGCTGGTAGATTGCTCACAATGCTTAGTTAGTTGGTACAAGAAGTCTTTGCATGCTGTCTATCAGCACAAACATGGGTACAACTGAAGTGTATTTCACTTGGGAAGCTGGCATCACTGGGAAATCTCAGCTTTTGGCTGGAGGGTTGAGCACTGAGCATGGAGGAAAGCAATTGCTGGTCAGAGAGAGGGTAAGGATAAGAGAATGTTTGCAGGATCCAGTGGTCAAACCACACAAAGAAATGCAAGCTAGAGATTGATCATGGCAATCTCCAAAATCGAAAATTTCAGCCAAACCTGAATAAGATTCTTCTTCATCTTCCTCTTCTTCATCTTCCTCTTACTCTTTTTCTTCTTCTGCTTCTTCTGCTTCTTCCTCTCCTTCTCCTTCTCCTCCTCCCCTTCTCCTTCTCCTCCTCCCCTTCTCCTTCTCCTTCTCCTTCTCCCCTTCTCCTTCTCCTTCTCCTTCTCCTCCTTCTCCTTCTCCTTCTCCTCTTCTTCATTCTCTTCTTCTCTCTACTGTTGTTGTTTCACCCCAATACAGGGAGATTTTATTCATAAATCATCCAATCAGCTAAAAACATTCTAAACCATTCTAAAACATTCTTCCTACACCAATCTGAACTTAATTTTAATGTGCGAAAGTAGTGTCACTTCTTACCCAAAATCTACATATATATTTTTATCTGTTTACACAAATAACTCTATCTGTTCTATCTAGAAATGCAAGCAATGTTCTTACTATGTTTTTGTTATGTCTGGAGCTAAGTTAATTTTGTAAAAGGTAACACTACTGAACTTTAAACTAGGCTTTAGGGCTTTTTACTAGCTAACACAGTCTTTTAAGGCACTTAAGATATATTTCTACTTCCTTAAAACTAAAACTTACACTCCTACTTTATGTCTGTGGCTTAATATATTTTAGTTTCTCTGAAGGCTCTAATTCAATTCCTGCATTCCTTTCTCTCTCTGAGGGACTCAGAGAGGCTTCTATTTTATGCATTCCAACATATCATGGAATATTTAAAGTTTGAAAAAACCTCTGGAGATCATCTAGTCCAACCCCCTTACCCAAAGCATCGGTTTAATATCACCAAATATGGAGACCATACAAGCTCTATGAACAACCTGTTTTAGTGTTTGAGATGTTTAGGGATGACCACTCTCATCACAGAGATTTGGTTTTATGATTAAATGGAGTTTCCTGTATTTACATTTGTGGCTTCTTTCTCTTGTTCTTTCATTGAGCACCACCAAAGAAGTCTGTCTCCATCTTCCTTTCACCCTTCCTTTAGATGCACATGAATAAGCTCCCACCAGAGCCTTCTCTTCTCCAGGCTGAACAGTCCCAGCTCTCTCATCCTTTCCTCATACTAAAGATGCTTCAGTCCCTTAGTCATCTTAGTGGCCCTTCTCTAGACTCCAGTATATCCCTTTTATACTGGGGACACCATGACTGGACTCAGCACTGCAGTTGTGGCCTCACTGGTGCTGAGCAGAAGGAAAGGATCACTTTTGTCTACCTCCTGGCAGTGCTTTTCCTAATGCAGCCCAAGAGGCTGTTGGCCACCTCTGCGGCAAAGGCACATTGCGGGTTCAACTTATGTCAGCTGGCATCCCCAGGTCCTTTTCTGCCAAGCTCCTTTCCAGACAGCTGGCCCCCAGCATGTACATGGGGTAATTCCTCTCGAGGTGCAAGACTTCACATTTCCCTTTGCTGTGCTTCTTGAAATCCCTCAGATCTTCAGTCTGTTCAGGTCCGTCTGAATGGCAGCACAACCATCTGATGTACCAGTCACTCCACCCAGTTCTACATCATTTGTAAACTTGCTGAGGGTGCACCCTGAGGAAGAGTGGTCCCCAGCTGCATTTTGTGCGATCTCAACCCTTTGAGCTCTGCAGTTCTGCCAAATTTCAGTGCAGCTCCATATCCATCCTAATAGCCCATGCTTCATCAGTTTGTCTGTCAGGGTGTAATGGGAGACAGTCAAAAGCCTTACTTAAGATAAACAGCATATACCGCTCTCCCTTTATCCACCAACTAGTCATCTCATCATATACCCAGCACTCTTTCCTGTGACAGATTTCTCTGCTGCATGTAATGGAGGTCTTCATAAACTTGCTTTATTAAGACTTATTAGGCTACTTGGTATAGGAGTTGCTTCTACCTGCTATAAAATGAACTACTCCACCTGCCTTTGTAATGATCTACAAGTGATACAAAACATCGAGATTATTTAACAGCACATACCAGATGGTTTATGCAAGGTTGAACATGACAGGAAGATTTTTGTCCAGATTGGGGGTGGGACTATTGTTTCATTTTGAAAAAGAGGAAAGAAATATGGACAAATGGGGGCTGCATTGCCACTTGTGTTGCTCAAATTTCACTGGAGGCTGCTTTTACAGGTCAGCAACTAGAAGCAGCAAATATGGTCAATGAACATGCGGCGGGCAAAGTGCTTAACACTGTTAACTAATTCTGAATTGCATTGAAATACAGCCCTGGTATGTTTGGATATTCAGGTAAGTTTAATCTCTAGACAGATTTAAGTTAGCCAGACCAAAACCTGAGACTGGACACAAAATCCCTTTCATGTTTTTCAAATCAAACCAAATTTAAAGAAAAAAGTAATTTGAATGAATACGACAGAATTGAATACTTTGTATTTTTTCATTGGTTAGGCAGAAATGTTCAGAACACACTGCTTTTACCTTAGCAATCACTTCAGCAAATACTAACTTACCTAGACCAAGTCAATGTATAGGTTTTGATGATATTTCCATCCTAAAGCACTGTTACTGCAAACAAGATTTAATTATGTACCTGCATTTAAAAGGTGCTGAGAAAGTTCCTTCAATAAAAAGCAGAGGATAGAAAGGATTTAAGTGAGAAAGTTGTAACAGTTGAGACATAGAGAGATCACAAAAGAAATATTTGCTGTAATTGCCAAAGCTCAGAAAATGAATAAAATTTAACTCTTCAATTTGATGACCTAGAAAATAGAGAGGAGAAATAATGTGCATATGAAAAGGATTAAAGAAGAAGCCAAGAAAGGAAGCTTAGTGGGTTTAACTGGGTGGATTTAAAAATTGTTTAAAGAATGATGAGATAACAGTAAAAAGAAATTGAAACTGGCTTTACCAGGAAACAGATCTACACATTTTTCTGTGAAACTTCCCTTGCATTATTTAAATAAAAGAAAGGTTGAGAAGAAAGTAACAGAAAATGAGCTAACTGTGAATGATCTGAAAATAGAGTATGTGCATGTGCATACACACATTCTTTCAGCTTTTAAGGAAGAATATACAGAGAAAAGAGGGTGCAATAATAACAAGGTTTTCATTACTTCTGAGGTATTGAACTTGGCTGCAAAAGAAAGAGGACTAAATATCTAATAATTAGAGATAAAGTAGAAGCTAGCAGAGATAATGGCATGTGTTATGTAAACCAGGTAGTGTTACACATGGAGATCTTTTTACTGCTATCATAATGCCTGTCAGAATGAAAAAAAAGGAACTGGAAGAGGGTATTTTTCTAGAAGAGAGGGGCATAACAAAGCTTATAATAAAAATCAGGACAAATTAAATTTAAAATATCCACAGGGTTCTAGTCTTGTAAACATGAAAAAGTAAAAGTTACATTAGCAAGCGATTAGTAAAAGGAACTTCAAGCTAGTAAGATATCTATATATCTATATAGATATATAGATATATAGATATATAGATATATATTTACATATAAATATATAGATACAAGATTAATTTATTCAGGAGTGCTTTCAGATATATCTGAAGTATATAATAAACGAACAAAGGAAGAAGCTTGGTCAGATGGAGCTGTATTTGTTGTGTTTTTCTATTATTCACAGAGGTAACAACTACCCTCCTATAGCAGTTTTTAGATAAATTTCAAAATGCATTCAGATAGCAAATGAAGTCAGTCACAAACAACCCACTTGCCACAAAAGGCCTGTCTTTGTTGTTGTTACATGTCTGGAGATTTTCTGATACAGGCTGTGATCACATTACTCACTGCAATAGCAGGAGGCACATAAGGGAACTGTTCAGGGGGTGTCTGGTTCACCTGGCCAATGGGATCCCGAAATCTGGAGGTGGATGCATTTTTGGTGGGACCTTGCCCAGAGGCAGCCACAGGAAGTCACTGCAAGTGACCCCTCTGTGCCACTCCAACAAAGCCATCTGGCCTGTGGGACCCATGTGTGTAAAGCTCTGCTAGTCAATGTGAAAATATCCATTTTTCGGCCTTCAGAGAACAGGAGGCAAGTGGGAGATGTGACAGCACTTCTGCCATGCCAGGGAATCACTAATGTGAGCAATCCAACCTTCACTGCCTGACCAGAGTGACCCAGGCACAGGACAGGAGTTTGTGGCTGCGGCTACATCGCGTCTGAGACCACGGTTTTTACTCTGGAAAACTTTCAATGTCTCCATTATGAACCTGTAAATCTGAGCTCAGAGAGAAGGTATTAAAATGATGCTGACATCCAAAGAGTCAGAAATAGTCAACAATTCACCCAGAGAGTTACAGAGAATGAAAAGGAGGTTGGTAAACAGTCTTGCCTTATCAGTGAAACAGGCATCCTGGCTTTAAAGGAGTGACCCTAAACAAAGGATCACCTAGGCTTCTATCCAATAGTCTAGGGTCATCCTGTGAGTGTTCAGCTCCTGCTGTGTCACCTGTCTGTCCATTGTCACTTGCTGAGTCTCTTGTCACCTGTCTGGCCACAGGTCCTGTGCCCTTTATAATTCAAGGAATCAGTTCCAGTTCACAGCCTCTTGATTCCAGCCACGGTGGAGTCTCTGCCACCACTGATCACCAACTCAAGAAACTCAGCAACTCAAAAGAGAAAGATTGAGCATAAGGACTAATTAGCTTGAGAAGCAAGAGAATAATTGAACCAACCTAAGGTAAAATACTAATTAATAGGAGAACTCGCCAATCAGCTGTGATTTGTTTGCTAAAATGTATATTTAGTGTAATTGAAATGGACTACCCAGGGCAGTGGTGGAGTCACTGCCTCTTGGAGGTGTTTAAGGAAAAGACTGGATGTGACACTTAGTGCCACGGTCTAGTTGGCATGGTGGTGTTCAGTCATAGGTTGGACTTCATGATCTCAGACATCTTTTCCAAGCTAATAAATTCTATGATTCTGTAAATATTTGAGAATCTTGAGTACTTGATTTGTGTAACACTTCCACCTTGCACCGTGCACACAGCAAAAAACGTCTCCTGTCTAAACCGGGCCCCGTGTCTGTGTTTAGCGTCTCTAAATTTGGCAACAACATCAGGTCACAGCGAGTGACTTCTGCCAGAGGTGTCCTGGGTTTGTGCCAGCCACCACCACGCCCTCCCTAAACGTGCGCCAGGACCAGCCACGGGGGAAAGCTCCCCAGCAGGAACCCACCGTCCTGCGGGCCGCCGCCGCGGCAGGAGCCCGCACTGCCATCGGCACTGCGCCGGACTGTGGGGATTCCATCCCGGGGCTGTGGGCACGCCGTCCCGGCCAGGCAGCGGCCTCTCCGCGCAGGCGCCCGCAGGTGCTCGCGCGTGCGCTCGGGCGCGGCGGCGGCAGCGCGCGGGGCGCGGCCCTGCTCGGGCCCGGCCCGGCGGCGCCGCGGTGCGGCCGGTTGCTATGGGAACTGCGGGCGTCTGAGCGACGCTGGGGCCTTGCGGAGGCCGTGGCGGGTCCCGACCGTGTCACCTCGGGCAGCGCCCGGTGCCCCCCCGGCCGTAGTGCTCGTCCCTGGGGGTGCCGCCCGGCCGGGCGGGGGCGAAGGGCCGGACCGCGGGGTAAGTCGGGTGGAAGGTTTTGAAAAGCGGCCGGAGACTGATAACCCCTGTTCGGGTTCCCGGCAGCTTTCCCGTGCTCGGGAGAGAAGCTTGATTGCCGAGTGTGGGTTGGGAACAGCGTTTACTCCACAGGTGCTGTTTATTTGGGTGGGTTCTTGGACGTGTTGTCCCACGGATGCGCTGGAAATCTAACTCCGCTGAGAACTCAACTCTCGTAACTCCGTTCTTGTTTCTCTTTGATAGCGATTTCTCTGCGTCAAAATTTCACCAGGGTGAAAGTGCATCAGTTGTGATTGGTAAGTTGCTGGTGTTCAGAATTGTGTCTATTAATAGCTATTATTTGCATATTCCTGTAAGGAGGTTGTTGTGAGGTGGGGGCCCATCTCTTCTACCGTGCCTGCAGTGAGAAGACAAGAGGAAGTGGCCTTAAGCTGAGACAGGGGAGATGCAGATTAGATGTTAGATGAACAAAAATTCACTGTGAGCATGGCCATGCACTGGAATGGGTTGGCCAGGAAGGCGATGGAGTCACCAATTTTGGACATGTTTAGGAGGCATCTGGATCTGGCACTGGTTGATGTTGTTTAGGGGTTGCAGGGGCAGTTCAGGGTTGGACTTGATTATCTTAAACGTCTCTTCCAACCTTGATGATTCTGGGATTCTTACTTAACCTGTACTTAGTGTGTTAGCTATTCTAGAGATTTGCTAGGGCACCAGAACATGGATTCAGATGTCAGAGAGCAGAGTGCTCATAGCTTAGGCACAGGGCTTCTCCTCACCGTACTTAGTGATTGCAAACACACCCACTCTGCATCCTAACAATTAAATGACACTAGCCTTGAGGTGGGAAAGAGAATGGCAGAGCCAGTGTGAGATGGCACAGCCAGAGTGATGCCATATCTGATGTAGTCAACCGTGCTTCTCTCATCCTGATTGAACTAAGAGCTGGGAGAGTACAGCTGTCTCGCTTCTGGACATTGCTGGGATAATGTGTGGATACTGTACTGCTATCTACTGCTTTAAAATCTTCCTGTACAGCAAAGACCAGACTTCTGGAGTAAAAACTGGGGAATAAAGAAAAGAGTCCAAGAATGGCTTTTCAGACACTGCTGTGATACTCACCTGCCTTTCCAGCAGAGAGTCAGAGAGGAGCTCTTCATATGTGCAAGTTAAAGGCTACTTGGGAAATGGTGACAGTCGTGAGGAACAAGATCTGGGTGTAGCAGTTGTGCTGTCCCCATTGACACTGCAGCATTCCCTCTGTTTTGTGCTGGGTCTGGGGAGCAAAATTAGAGAATCGCAGAATACGCTGAGTTGGAAGGGGCTCACAAGGATCATGAAGTCCAGGTCCTGGCCCTGCACAGGACCATTCCCAACTCTATCAGACATAAGGCCTACAGAAAAGACCTGCCACTCCCAGTAGCTGGGGGAATAGGGAATGATAGTCCACCTTCTTTTTTTCAGTGAGGACTGACTGTATAATTTTTCCAGACAGCTGCAATGGAACTCCTTACTTTTTTTAAGTCACATTGTAATAGAGGGAAAAGTAAGGAACATAGAGAACAAAATTCAGTCACAGTGAAGACAAGTAATATATTAATGGTAGTCGGAAATATTAAAAACACTGATAGGCTCCTGATCTGTTCCTGAGGTTTTTTTAATTATGCATCATTTAGTGAAAGAGGTTGGTGCACTTCTCCTTAGTATTCAGTTTTATGTTGTGTGTGCTACCGTGGAAGATACTGTGCCAAAATGTGCAGGCTCTCAAAGAAAGAAGCAGCTAGAAAGGTTAAACTGCAGAACAGGAAGAATTGAACTAAGAAACTAAGGATATAAGATTTTTTTTACTCCATAGTTTAGAAGTAACCCAGATGATGGTGTCTGATCTACTGTCAGTTCATTGTCATAAACTGTGTGAGGGAATAGAAGTTACCAGATGGTCTGAGTCACAGTGCAGAAACATATTTTTGTTTTTATGTAAGTTTGAAAGCAGAAGTGGAATTTTGCATGGTGTAAGACTGATGATGAATTTGCTGTAAAATGACAAGGATAATATCTACAGAGGACTGCACCGTTATAGTGATGGGTTGCGGGTCCAGTATGGAGGCGATGGAGCAAGTCTGTCACTGCCCACTGCATTTACTGGAAACTACAGCAGGACAGAATACTGATTGGAAGTTTGGGTTTATAACTTGTATTAGTGTTATCTCTCTTTGCTTGTCCTTTGGGGTTGGTCAGGGAGTAGTTTCTTTCAGAGGAAAAAAATGGATTGCTTGTTCTTCCTTGTCTCTGCTTATCAGTTGCTGATAACTGTGCTTCAGTTACTGATAATGATGCCTCTGACATGTTAGGAAGCTGCCCTTGGTAGGGTCAACAATATATATTAGGTTTTTCCTAAGTTGGAAAAACCTGTCTCTTTGCATCATATTATTGGATTCTTGTTTTGGCTGTGATGTTTCCTATGTAATTGTGTGTCAAGAAACAGATTTTCTGTGGAATTGTAGAGGACCATTTTTAGCCCATGAAGCACAGTGACTTCCTGTGTCACAGTAGCTTCCTGTAAAAAAACTGAAGGTAGATCCTCCAGATCATACCTGTCAGATGCTTTCTGGTTTTGCATATTTTCCTGCAGAACTGAGGAACAGAGAGGAAATGCAATATCAGTGTACGTTATTTCCTGTCTAGGATTTACTTACCCTTTTTAACTATATTGTGGTAGCATAACCAGTGATGAATTAGTAGTTTGTAATTTAAAGCTAGCATAATACTTTGTGCCTTTCACATATATTTTCCATTGTTCTTCCTGTGTAGCACTTTGTAGAGGAATGCAAGCTTCAAAGATTGAAAATAGAGGAAAAGCAGGACCATTCTACTGGCTATCAGCAGCAAAGCCTAAGACAAGTTCTGAGATTGTAAATGAAGCCAGAGATGCTCTTGTAAAAGAAGCCAGAGATGCTCTACGAACAGTAAAAACTCAAAGACCATTCACACCTACAGATGAACAAAGGAAACTTTTTGGGTCCCAGTCCTCACTATGTCCTCAAAATAGACCCCCTTCAGTTTTTAGGTACTTTGGCTTTAAGATTTTTTCAAATATCCTTTAGGAACAAGAGATTTGATTCTGTAATTATGCTTCCGGTGATTATTTTCCCTGTGTTAATCTGTATTCTTAATCACATCCTTTGCCTTCTTCTAATGATTTTTACTGTTGGTGTTAATCTACATGTCCAAGAAATGTTCCTGTGGATTAGAGCTACCAGAGGCAGACATTACACTAGTTTTCTATGTGGAGAATAGTATAAGAAAATAGTCTGTTACTTACCTTTTCTTGAGATAATTGAATGCTTTTAATTGAGATAGTCTTCAGCTTTTTTTCCTAGAAAATGTGAAAGCTTGCTTGTTTCCTATAACCTATGTGCTAGATCTCTTTTCAGAACCTTCTGAGACCTTTTAAATGAAAAATTTTAGGTCCTGCAGTTTGAAATGCTCATTTTAAAATTAAGTTTTTACTACCTCAAAATGATTTCTAGGTGGAGTATGAAGTGCTCTTGTCACTTTTCCTTTCTTCCCTTTCACTGTATTCACTGGCAAAGGGAAGAAGCATGGAATTAAAACAACTGGGTTTTAAATTTTTAATTTAATTAATTAAATTTAATTAATTAAATTAATTTTTAATTAAAACAACAACCCACAGCTCTGGGTCTGCTTTATGCTAACTATGTTTCATTTCTTTGTTAGTCTTGATACATTCAGTTCTGACTCGTCTGAATCAAGACCACATTCTGGTGTTCGTCTAAGCCCACTGGCTCATGTAAGTACTCTGGAAATAACTCATGCAGTGCTGATATAGAAATATGTGTCTTGGTAATGTTAGGAAAATAAATGGTTTAAAGACATTTGGAAAAAATGGAGGTGTGTTGTAACATTAATCTGAGACTTATAAAGTCAATTTTGTCATTTTTTCCCCAAAAGAAACCTGAAAATAATTTAAACTACTTAAAATATTTTTGTATTGCTTTATGATTCAAAGTGACATTAACAAGAATCAGAAGATGGATAGTTGAGTCAGCTTTCTCATGTAAGTTTACTAAAATAGATGAAGTTCATGAGCATGAACATGTGCCAACAATGTGCCCTTGCTGTTAAGAAAGTGGCTGATGGTATCTGGGGCTGCATTAGGAGGAGTGTTGCCAGGAGGTTGAGGGAAATGATCCTTCCCCTCTACTCAACATTAGTAAGGCTGCACCTGGAGTGCTGTATGAAGTTCTGGGCTCCACAGTACAAGAAGGACATGGAGCTACTGGAGAGAATCTGATGAACAGCCCCAAAGGTGATGAAAGGACTAGGAAGAAATGAGAACGTTCAGCCTGGAGAAGGGAGGATCTTATCCTTGGATGTAAATACCTGAAAGGCAGGTACAAAGAGGATGGGGCCAGCCTTTTTGAGCTGACTGGACCAGAGGCAGAGGGCACAAACTGGGACACAGGAGGTTTACTCTGAACTTCAGGAAACAGTTTTCCGGCTGTGAGGGTGACAAGGCCTTGGCACAGGTTTCCCAAAGATCTTCAAAAGTTTAATGGGCATGGTCCTGGGCACCTGAATTTAGGTGGCTGTAGTTGAATATGGGGCTTGGACTTCCAGAGGTCCCTTCCAATCTCATCTATTTTGTGGTTCTGTGATCAGTAACTTGAAGGTAATTAAGTGGTTGCTTTATATTTTGCTTACATTTCTATAAAATGTCATAATTGTAGTTTACTTCAAACAGATAGAAGTCCTTTAAGAACCTTTTTTATCCCTCTGCTAAAGCTGTGAATTATTTTCAATTTATAAGTGTATCTGCTCTTTCACAGTTTTTTTTTTTTATGTTTGGTCTTCAAATATAAGATTAAGTCACGACTGTTTGCTTAGTACCCAAGATAACAGAGCATGCTATAACCATTAAATGTGCTTGCTGTATACATTGCTTTTTCCAGACAGTAACCTTTAGGAAATTTTTTAGGAAATTAGGGGAAATATCTAAGGAATTTTATACTTCAGTAATTTGGACAAGGTAATGTATTTATATGAATCAAGTTTAAAAATTATGAGCATACGTTTATTTAGATTAAATATATGTACATTTGTATTTAAGAACTGGTGTTAATTTTTTGTTTGTGTGAGTGTGGAAAACAATTAAAGAAAACTACTGATCAATGCAAGACCTGCATTTTTTGCTTTATCAATGGGTATAAATTAGTACCCTGTTAATTAAGAGCTTGTATTAATCATGATGGTTGTGGGTAGTCAGTCTTACCTGTTGGCTTTTCTAATGCTGTGGAGAGTTCTGAAGGATTGGCTGGAGACTTTCTAGTGGATTCTTTATTTTAAGGAAATTGGTATTGATTTTATAGGTCAGTGCTTTTATGTAGGGCAAGGGCACAACAAGTGCTTTGTCGGAGTGATTAAGGGGCTTGTTCACCTCCTCTAAGATGCAAGATACTGACATAAACCTGGGACTTTCATGTTTCTGGATCTGCATGATTTGTCTCAGTGTGATAGAAAGTAGTACATACGATGTGAACATATTTGGAGTGTTTTGGAAATGCTGTTTTGATGCTCAAAAGCAAATCAAAGAATAGCTGTATCTCTAGAATTGTTAGCAGTAGTCATTGGCACAATATTTATTTTGATAAATAATCTTGCTGCAGATGTAGGTAAATGAGTATTTATGAAGAATAAGTAATTCTGAGTTGTTCTACTCAAACTAGTTTTGTTTTCTGCACCCCTGAATGTTGATTTTAAATGGCGTTTTGTGGTGGTAATGGTATAGACATCTGGTTTGTTTGGTGTAATGGTATCATTATATTCAGAATATGAAAATTTCTTAATGAGCAAGCCAGTCTAACTTCTGTTCTATTTTGGACTTAGCCCTTTGTTAGAAATTATGGGTTTTTTCTTTTCTTTTTTTTTTACAAATTTTACTTAAATGAAAATTAATTTATCTGTGCTTTTGTTTAAGTCTTCTTTATTTTTGTCACAGAAACCAGTACTAGTAATTTCTGAAAAAAACCATGAAGCTGCTTCTGTTTTCCTTCCAACATCTCCTGCTGATGCTGCAGAGGTTAGAAAAGTCAGCAGTGCTTGGAAAGGCTTATTTAGAATAACTTCTCCAAAAGATTTATTTTCTGCTAAAGTGGTTCCTCTGGATCAGAGTAAGAACGTTTTGATATGTATTTTTGCTAGAAAAATAACTGCATGATGGGTTTTAATATTGGTAATTACATGAATTATTGATTATTGACATTAAATTATTATTACATTATTATTATTATTATTATTATTATTATTAATAATAATAATAATAATAATAATAATAATAATAAATATTGACATTAAAGGACTTTTGTGTCCTTTCAGTGTGAATTCTAGAAGTACTTAAATGGATTTAAGGCAGTTTTGAAACTGTGGTTTCCCAAAATGATGCTGGCTTGCAATACTGAAAGTGAATTGAAAGCTACTCAGGTGCCTCTTCTTCCTATAGGTTTCCAAGTAATGGAATTTTACTGAAAGTTGTCTTCAGTGAGTAAAATTAACATTAAATGCTGACATGCTTAAAGAGATAATGAGATGCCATCATCTAAGGAGATTCTCTGATGGATTATTGAGCATAAAAGGAGGAATAAAAACGAATGATATGTCTTGACAGGCCTCCAACTCCATTGTATTTGTAGTTAAGAGTTTCATTAGTGGAGACTTAATAAAGGTCACCAAATGTGGGGTTTAAAAGTAATTTTCTTGAAGATGGGAAATCGCATCTTGGCTTCCTGCATGTTGGCTCATAACGAAGTGTGCTGGGACTCAGTCTTTATTTCAGAAGACTCATTTATAATAATGACAGTTCTTATATTGTCCAGGATTGTTACTTCACATGATAAACTGAATATCTCACTTTCTGCCTTACTGCAAAATAGCTCCTACATATAAAAGTACTAAACTTCATCTTCGTGTATTTATGCTATAAATATATATTTATGTAATGTACCCCTTCATGTAGCCTTAATAAGTTGATGTTGCTAATTGAAGAAGTTGAAAAGCTAGTGTAGCTGTAACCTGCCTTAGTCTCTTCTCCCCTTTTGAGGTCATGCAAATGTTTATGTGAAGGGTTTTATTTGTGGGGTTTAATTTGTTGTGTGTACATAGAAGCTACAGGATAAACAGCTACCTTTTTCTTGAATTCCTTCATAATACTCAGGTCCTGAAATACAATCACCTTTTTCACAATGTATAATCCACCTATGCATAAAAGGGAAATAAAGAAGATGAAATATTAAAAGTTCAAACACAACCCCAAAAGACTTTAAGAAATACTGTTCAAAAGAAGACATTGACTACCTTACTCTTAATAGTCTTGAGCTTTTTCACTTTTTAAATTGATACAAGCAAATTTTGATAACGTAACACGACAAGCAGTAATTAATTACACTTGAACAAAATGTGTTCTCTTTGACTATTTCAGATGAAGTGAAGCTAAATTTTGAAGAGCCAACTATGATGGTGAATGATCTTGACAGAAGTAATAATAACTGCTTAGCAGAACAAAAGCTGTACACATCATTTAATGATGAGAGTAGACAGGTAATTTGTAATGAGCATACCAGCAGATCAGGAAGTGGCGAATCCATGGAAGGGACACCAGTAAAATTTTCACTTCAGCTGCAAGGAGAAAGGTCAGCATTGGTCAAGTATGGTAATGTGCATTTTCCATACAATCTTCTTCCTAGATACTCAACTGTGCAAATATCAAAATGCTTAAAATTAATGGAATTTGAAGATAACATTACATATGCTTTAAAATGTAACTGTGTTTAGATTATTAGAAAAATTTACATTTCTTCTTTTAGGAAGTTTCTACATTCAGAAGACTAATCTGTAAAATATTGTTGGTAGAAATTTGTTCTATATGATTTGTTTGATCATTAACATTTCAAAACTAAGTTTCTAATCACTGCATGTAAAATGCTCAAGTTTAAATTTTATGTTCTTGCTTTTGCAGTTTAGTCCTGTTGTTTTAAGGTGCTATACCATCTTCACTTAGCTTGACAGATGAGTAGAGCCATGCTTTCAGTTCTGGTATGTGATCATACACCAAAACCTGGCTTAAACTCTTTGGTAACAGAAGCAGAATTTTTTGTGACTTTGAATTTTTAGTACTTTTTTCTTGCATGACCAATTAAGTGTAAGAGATTAATGAAGCTCATGTGCCTGCAGTCTGTTTTTACTGAACCTGGAATGTCATATCCGTTCTTTAATTCATACTCAAGTAATTTGTTTTTCTTTTGATTTAGATGTGAATTCTTGCGCAGGGAAGAATAGTCCCATGGCACTATATATAGTTGGTGTACAGTTACTGCATTAGCAGTCAGATGAACAGCTGTTTTGTGCTATTAACAGTGACAGATCTGGCAATCTCAACAACAGAAAATGAAAAACACTTTATTTTCAAAACACATCCTTGTAAAACTTGTTCACTCTTAAAAATATGCATTTGCCAGTAGGTATCTTCTTTTTAGCATGTTTGTATGCTTAGGGGAAAGCTATTTCCCTATATATTCTTAACCACTTTTGATATTAAAGATCGTGTTCTTAATTTATAAAATTAAAGGCCTTTAATTTACTAACTTTGTGATAGCATTTAATAGTTTAAAAGAATGTTGTCCATTGAGGCTGTTACAGTAAATGATACATAACAGAGCTATCATAGCACTCTTTTATATTAAACTGTAAGCAGAATTGAAAAAAAAAAGACAGATTCTAAAAGAATGAAGCCTTCTTGTAGCAAAGAAAAAAACTCCATGAGTGTGCAGGAAGAATGAGAAAATAAGAGCAGAGATGAAAAATGTAGGTGATAAAAAGAAAAATAAAGCACCAAGGAGAATACTTTACTGCAATGTAATTTTCTCCCTTTAAAATCAGTGATCTAATAACTTCTTAGATAAAGACGATTTTGATTATCATACTACATAAATTACTGTAGTTTGAATTTTATTTAATAAAGGTGTGGTGTGAAACACTTCAGTGTTGCAGTGGAAATGGGAAGTTCCTTTTGTGGAATATGCATCCTACTGTTTTCAGTTCTGCTTTCTGTTTGGGTTGCTGTTTTAGTTGATGGTGTCCAAGTGCCTCTTGTAGGAAAGGGTCAGTTGATACTTTTGCTAATTGAAAAGGATGACCTTCCTTCTCAGTCATAATTTTAAAACTTGCATGTATAAATGAATAGCTAACCCATTAGGCATGCTTTCTGTCTGTTCAAAATGATACACTTTCTTTATAAGAGCAAGAGCTTTGCACGTTTTTGATTTTGCATTTTAGTTACTATGCTTTTTGCAATCAGGAATCTCATACATCAGTTGAATCAGTTCTTAAATTACTGGCCTTAAGATAATACAAAAAAATTACTTTCCAATATTGTTCTGACTAGTTTTCTCCAAAATGGAAGAGGAATATAATATTCCTCCATCTTTCTGTGTTGAATGCAAGATCTGTATTTTTGAATTGCCCATTTTTACCTCTCCTGTGAGTTGTGGATGCTTTCTGTGTACTTGAGTCAGAGCTGATTTTTGCCAATGCTGCCTAAGGGAAGCTTCCTGACGCCATTTAGGTGCTCATATGGCTTAGAGCACCACATACATCTTCAGTGCTGCAAGATGCACAAGAATAATACAAAATGCTTTTCCTTAGCCACAAAGGTGTCTCATCTATATCAGCCCAAGCAGTTCATGCCATCATGTGATGGGATGGCTGTGGATAATCTCAGCTGCTCCCATACGTTCTAACTCCTTGCTAAGACTTACACCAATGAATACATTGGTCCAGTGTTTGTGTATGATACTACACAAGTCAGGCAGACCTTGCTCTGTATTCAGAGATGTCATTCTTCATCTGACAAGGCAGCTGAAAGGTACCACAAACCTTGCCTTCCATATAGTTTGTTGAGTTTGGTCTTCTGATACTTGTATGTAAAAGGCTCCAGAAATATAGAGGGGTCATTGCAGTGAGAGATTAGGCATTCTTTCTCTGTAGAACATGTTTACTAGATGATTGTAAGGTTAGATTGCATCTGGTTCTGTGTCATAAATACTTGAGGCATCTTGTATGGCGTTACAAGATATTTTCTATTTAAAGTACATTGCATTCAGGAGTAATAGGATGAAAGCTTAAAGGAATGTGAAATCTTTTATTACCTAGCGTCCTGTCATTCTCTATATGAAGCGGGTGTCAACCTCAATTCTGTATTGCAGTGATTTAAAATCCTTGGAGGAATTAAGCAAAAGGATTGTAGTAATAGTACACTTCATACAGGAGAAGGTGTGTGGGACTTCCTACCATTCCTTTCCCTACCATTCCTATAAATGTTCTGAAATAACTTCCCTAATGAAACTGTTTCTCTGCTAATGAGGAAACAGTAGAGCATGGCAAAATAGTATGGCAGATTCCTGCCGTTAATGCTATTATATTTATTTTAAAGAGAACAGAAGGGAGGTATTCTATTCCAGCAAGAGACTTGATAACTTTCTATCTCACATTCTTTTGTTGTCCCAAAAACTGAAGAAAAGAATGAACAGTGCTAATGAAATCACAACTGCCTTATAAAGGTACTGGTGGGGGCAGGGGGGAAAGGACCTTTTGAGGGGAAAAGCTATTTGGCATTTTGTTTGCAATTCTGTTCTGCAAATAACAATCTAGTTGTAATAGAATAGGTAAATTAATTGAAGCAGATTGAATTTATTGACATGTTGCCTCAGGAAAGCTGGGAACAATTTCTGGCAATCATAAGGAAGCTCGGTTTTGTTTACATCTTCCTCTAACCATTGTGCCTTGCCATCTATTGTGATTGCTATAGAAGTGAAACTTCTAAAATGTTTTCTGCATTCATATATTTCAACAGAAGTGTCAACAGTGATGGCAGATTTGCTGATGAAGAGCAACAGTTTCCCTGGTGAGAAAAGATGATGATTTTTTTTTTCCTACTCCAATTTCTCAGTATTCTGAAAGCTTAGATGTCATTCCAGGACTTCTTAAAAGCAGAGATGCCTTGAGTGAGGAAGAGTTTGGAGGCAGCAGTTCATTCCCAAGTGGCCTATTCTTTTTTTAATAAGTGAGTTTTAGAAAGAGCTAAAAAAGGATTAGCAGGTGCTGTAAAGAAGATACACTGTGCCCTGTTTTCTCTTACCATTGCTCTCTTTATTAAATGCCTGTTTTACAGAATCCTTGAAATATATTCTTCTTCCATGAGAGTAGTTTCTCTTTCTTGTGCTTTTTTAGAGTTTTGGAATATTTCAATAGAAAATGATAAAAGCAAAGGATTAAATGATAAAGTGAATCATATTCATAGAGTAGGGTGAGTTGGAGAGTACCACTAGAAATCACTTCTCTCTGGTTCCTTAAACAACTTTCACATCTGTGCTCGATATATAAATTTTTTTTTCTCTTCAAAGAAAAGGATTCCCACAGAGGAGAGAGATTTATTTTTTTTTCCTGAGGGGAACATCCATTCTGTTTTGCTCTGGATGATTTTTTTGAAATGAGCAGCATGGTGTGGCTATTGGTTTGTTGTATGGTGTAGCTGATTCTCCAGACTTTTTTCAATATTTTTCCCTTTTTCTTTTTTTTTAATTTTGTTACATATATTGGCAACTTCTGGAATTCTTATAAAGATGGGGAAATAGGAAATAAACCTACTCTCAACTAATCTTTATTTCTGCCTCAGTTGCACTGGCTATTTGGACCAATGATTTCAGAAAGAAACAATTGGGTGGTGGGAAATCCTTCACAAGCAGAGCTTTCTACAGTGTTTTCCAGGTTGTGACACCTACCCTTTCAAGAAAAGAAGGTGCCTGGTTTGGTATAGGCTTAAGGATACTGAGAGAACACTGGGAAAGAAGAATTCTTTTTTTTTCATAACTTGTTATAGACTTCTAAAGAAAAGAATAAGAAGTAACTTATCTCTGGTCTCTTAGCTCACGAAAGAGACAGGGAGTTCAGTCTCATTTCTACCGTGTACTCCAAAGAGTCTTTCCCCTCTAGTACTTAGTTTCAGGCCAGTGTCATTTGGCACCAGTTCTGGGAGATCTAGGTCTTGAGAGTCCTTAATACCAATTGAATTGCAATTCTGGAATGGGTTAATGTGCTGTGCAAAGAGAGTAAAGAAGGAATGCCAGTTTGCTCTAGGTAGACCTGTAGTAACAATGGATTTTAATTTGTTTTCTGTTTAGAAATGCAATGCTTATGCAAGATTCAAGTTAGGAAGATAATGAGGGTGTGGTTTTCAGAGTCAAATATATTTAGGCTAGTGTTTTAGGTATTTTTTATGGTTAGAATTAGACTGTCAGATTGTCTGGTTGCCTAAAGATACTCTGCTGCAAATAGATACTGTTAATATTTTCAATATTAGACAGAACATGCAAAGACTGTGAAGAATAAAAAGGATAGAGACTTTTCATCAACCATGATTATTCTTTTAAGTCATACTGTTTAACATGTGCATGAGGCTCTCCATCAACAGCCTGTATAAATAAGAAATGCTGTATTTTTTTATCACTTGAGTTGTCATAAGAAATGAGTTATTCCCATGATTGTGTTTATGGAATTGTTATTTACTCATCTTTAGGATGACTCAGAGTGTAGTTGGTCTATTTGTCAATATATTTTTGCAAATTATGTTGTCTTTCTACTAGTTATCTTTTCTCATATAAGTGGTATCAGTTATACACTTAATTACAGTTTTCTCTCCTTTCGTTTTTTTCTGTTCTTATAGTGTTCCTTTTAATCCTCTACAGTTCCTGAAATAATTTCAGGATATCTATATTACCAGCTTTTGAATTATTTTCATGCTTTTGAGAAGTTTTGTGGTTGAGAAATAAAACTGACTCAAGTTGTGTGTAATTTGCTTAATACTTTATTTTATATCTCTTTTAGCTGTCTGCAGGTAATTTTGTCTCCATTGGTTTTTTTAAAAGGAAAATAGTCTTTTAAAATTGAGCTATTATAGTGGGGTTTTTTTATTTGAGACTTCTTTCCAGATCGTGTTTATCTAACTTGTTTGTCCCTCAGATGACATCACAGAAGGGAAGATTCTGTGGTAGCTGAGCAAAATAGGGACAGATTCTCTTAAGTGGCTCAGTGAAGGTCAATTCTTTGTCTAAAAGGATAGGGTGCTTTTCAAGTGCTAAGTTATGTGTCAGGAAGAAATCAGTTGGTTTGTAATAAAAACCACAAAAACATATTCCCTACTATTTAACTAATGGAAGACAATACCAGAAACTAATTCTGATGTCCTTCTGGCAACATAAATGGTCTGGATAGTATAATGAAATTGGAATAAAGGGATTAATGAGAAATGCAAATGTTAATTGGTATGTAGAAAAATTAATTTCCATGAGAGTAAATGACAGAACAAAATACTAATTTTTCTCATTTTGCCAAAAGCTAAAAACACTTCCTACTAGCTGCTTTGGCAAAAATACTGGGGTGTTGTTTATACTTCCTTTTGAAGTCTACAGAGCAATGTCTTGTTAACATCAGTAATTTTGGTTTAGAATTAGAACTCTTGTTTCTTGATCACTAAACACAGTGGAAAAATCATGGTAGCAGGGGATTGTGTTCTGAAGCAGTGGATCCTAAAAGCGTTGTGTAAATGAACCTGCTCTGAGAAGATCCACTGCAGTTTCTCTCACTTGCTGCAGCTCCGCATCTGACTCTTTGCCATGGAGCCCTTGCACCACTTTGTCTCTTGCTGCTGACTCAGGGTTTGCTCCATTGTCCTTAGTGCCCTAATTCCCAAGATCACCCCAGGATCATTCCCAGGATCATTAGCTCCTTTAACTTTCCCTGGAGCTGCTATTGTTCTTTTTGAGACAAAGTTGCTTAGTTTGGCTGTGCCCTGATAGACTTGGTCTAGAGCCCTATGTATCTTTGCACAGTGCTCCTGCCAAGAGATCTGATGGGCTGTTCATGAGACCACAGTTCTGAATAATTTAGAAAAAGTGCTAACTGGCAGTCACTACATAAACAACCCATTGGCTGATACACCAGAGAGTTGTCCAGAGGAGCCTCAACAGGCTGGAGAAATGGTTTGACAGGAACGTGATGCAGTTTAACAAAGACAAATGCAAAGTCCTGCATCTGGGCAGGAACAACCCCAGGCACCATTGTATACTGGGGGTGATCCAGCTGGGAGGCAGCTTTGCAGAAAAAGACCTGGAGGTCGTGGTGTACACCAAGTTCATAGAACAGCTCAGGATGGGAGAGACCTCAGAAGATCATCTGGCCCAATGTTTTGTGGAAGAGAGTAGATGAGATTATTTAGCACCCTGTTCATTTTCGTCTTGAAAACCACTACACCTGGGCTGCTGGGACCAGTTCCAGGCTCCCCAGTGCAATAGAGATATGAAATGGCTGGAGGGAATCCAGCTACTAAGATGTGAAGGAATCCTTTGTTTGAGGAAAGGCTGAGAGAGCTGGAACTGTTTAGCACGGAGAAGGCTTGGCAGAGGTTCTTATCAACATCTTTCAATACCTGGAGGGAGGGTGCATTGTGACACCATCATTGATTGTGTGACAAGAGCTCTTTCTTCTCCCCTATGGCAAGCACTCAAAACAGGAAAAACTATTTACCTGTGACAGTTCTTTTTAAGGATTTATTGGTTGTATATACTTCCACAACACCACCTTGCAGCTTTTCCCTTTGTAGTCCATATAGAATTATGAATCTTGGGTTGAAAGAAAAGCACTCAGCTGCTTAAATAGCCAAATGATCCTTATCAATATAAGACATGTCATCCTGGACAGTGCTAGCAATGAAAATAAACCCAAATTACAGTGTAGATATGTAATCACACTCTGAATATACAGGTGAGTAAAATCTCAAATAACATTCTTTCTAAATGGCCTGTTTAAGGATTATCCACAATCAAGGGAACTGAACTCTGATTTAGTCTGGAAAAACACCTTTGTGCCTAGTAGTTATTTTGATACATCTGGCTTGTCTGAACAGGCCCCCAGGATCTGCTTAGCACTGCTTGAAATCTGTTCTTCCTAACACTTAGTGAAATGTCTTGATTTTTGGGTGTAGATACACCATGTCTGGCATTCCAACGCACACAATGTATGTTCGTAAAATCAGATGTTCAGTGCTTGTATTTATGTATAAACAGTCTGCATCTACTGCAGTGCCTAGACTGCTTCTAGAGCTTTGTGAAAAGTTAGAAATTGCTCTCCTAGACTTTTGCAGACCTGAAAACACTGATATATCAAGGATCCAAAATAAAACTTTGTAAAAATTTCAGACACATTTTTGGGTTTTAAATAAACTAGAAAATAATTTTGTGGGAGCTGAAGGCGATGTAATGAAGGAAAATACCTTGTGGACGAAGTGGATGACTGTGAGGGGAAGATAGACAAAAAGGTTTGTTTACCTTATCAAAATAAAGACCAAAAATAAAACAGCTTTAAGGTTAAATAAATAATCTGGAGCTTAGATTTGCTTCTGAGGAAGTAACTTAAAGATAAGAATGGTGGTTCTATACATATAGAAAGGGCTCTGCAGTTACAGATATGTAGAAATCATGTGCTCGTAATTAGAGTTCTTTGGCTTAATAAAAAGGGTATGTTTAAAAATGGAAAATAAATCTATTTCCAGACATCAGATCTTGTCTACAGTGTAGGTCTTCCTTACAGCATTTACTCAGGGCATGCTATGCATTGGGTAGTCCCAATTCCTGTCTCTACTTTAGGAGAGAGTCCATAGATCCAGTTTACATGGGTGCAAAAGGAAAGGCTTGTAACATCTGGGTGAGCAAAGTTGTGTGAGGCCTTGGCACTTGCAGAAGGAGATACTATGGGGCTTATGATGTTTTCTGTCCCCACTGCCCTTATCTTTTTCTCATTCCCCTTTATTCCTACTCTTCTCTTTGAAAAGTAACCTGTATATTCTTCATTCTTTGATAGCATTCTTGCTATCTCCATTACTGTGATTCTCTGTTCTTCTCCCACTTTGTTACCTAGTTTTGCTGTAAGGATATATGAGATGATACAGGATCCTTACCGTGAGGGGAGGGTAATGTAAAGAGGGAATGCCTTGAAGTCGGACAATTCAGAAAAGATGGTCATGTCCTCTTTTTGTTCTAGTTGAGCTTTTCTACCTTGCTGACCACCGGTACTTGATAGATACAATTCTGTAGAGAAGCATTAACTTGTTAGTATTAGGCCATGTGTCTTCTTAACTGGTAACTAAGTACTCAGGGGTACCAGCAATACATCTCTACTAATAATTAATAAAATTTAAATTAAGGGGTAAGTCTCTGGCTTGGTGGCTATCTGCAGCGTCATAGGTTATGTTAATTCAATGAAACTATCTTTAATTACCTCCCTATTTTTAATACCCACACGTAAGGTTGTGTCTGGGAATGTCCCTACCTCTGCTTATCTGTGCCCTGTGCCCAGGTGTTTGTCAAGGAAAATAACACCTTTCTTGGGCCAAATCTGTAGCAGGGGTGATGCTAAGGGTCTAAATCTGTGGGACAGTGTGAGACAAAGTCCAGGCCCGTTGCCAGACTCTGTTTGGCAGGTAAAGAGATAGCCAGATTCTCCATGTTTAAGGTGCAGTATGAGAAAGGAGCCCAAGCACTGTTCCTCCATTGGGATCTTACTTTCACTTTTGTGATTCAACCCTTGCTGTTGTGTGCAGCTTCTTTGGAGACTGCTAGTTCAATTCTTTGCCTCTGGGATATAGTTTGTAAAAATGTGGTTTTCCCTGGAATACCATGCAAGGCTGAGAGTTTGCAGATTTACTATTAACAAGAGGCTCATGGCAAGAACAAGCAAGTAAATGTCTAAACATGCAGAATTTCTTAATAAATGCAGCTTTCACTTAATTATCTATTCTTCCACCACGGGAAAATACTGAACACGTATTGGGTCTGACTGAGTTATTTTCCCTGGAGCAGCCCTCACAGTTCTGTGCTTTGCATTGGTAGCTAAAGGGTGTTGTTGAAAACACACCAGCATTTTGGCTACTGCTGAGCAGCACTGCACAGCATCAGTGCTGTCTCTCCAGCATAAGCCTGTCACCAGTAGGCTTGGGGTGGGCTAGGTCTTTTGAAGGGACATAACCAGTACAGCTGGACAAGACTGACCAAAGGGATTCCATAATGTATGATGTCTGATCAGCAGTGAAAACTAAGACAAAGCAAGTGAGGAGGCATTTATTATTATGAGGTTTGTCCTCCAGAGCAATCACTATGCATACTCAAGCTCTGCTTTCTTGGAAATGGCTGGACATTGCCTATTGGTGGGAAGTTGAGCATAAATATTTTATGTTTCTTTGGTTCTGCAAGTGGCCTTTGCTTTTGCTTTATTAAACTGTTTTTGTCTTGATCCATGGGTTTTTCTCTATCTTGTTTCTACTCTTGGTCCTGCTGAGGAGCGGAGTGAAAAGAATGGTGTGCTTGGGCACCCGATGCCTGTCCAAGGTCAACCCACCATACCACACTACTCTAGTGTTGGGTCACTTTCCTTTTCAAAGTCCTCACACTATGGGTACATCCAAGAAAGCAGTGTTCTGCATTGAGGCTACTATGATTTCTTTTACATGAGAAGTATAGAAATGATCCAGTTGCCAAGTTCTTTTTCTTCTGTAAATCATCAGAGCCTCTGTCAGTTGATTTCTTGATGAGCCCCTTATCAGACGAACAGATTTCTGCCAATTGACTTCGTTTCCAAGGCAACCACTCTCTTGACAAGCCAGTTCCCTTCAATAGTAGGTGACTTATTTTTTAGAATAGGTCAATTATATTTTAACTGCATTGTTCTTAATAAGATACTTCTATTTAAGTTTCAGTCCTAAATGAAAATGTAAAGATAACAAACCAAAAGTCTGTGTAACTAAAATGAAGTTGGCAGAGTGGTAAAGATACATAAAGGGGTTTTATAATCTCTCACAGAATTCCTAAATTGTACATATTCCCTAAAGATAAGCCTGCCCACCAGCTATTCTCATTTACATAGGTATTCAGTGTATTAATTTTCTGAAAATAATGGACGTTTGCGTGACTTACAAGGGTATTTCCCAAAAGCATAGATGGTTGTACTGCTGGTATTCATAGAATAATTTGCTTTCCTGATAATTTAAGTCTCTGAACTGGTTGATACTGATGTTTAAAAAGCAATAGGTTCCAACCCAACTTTTTTTTGTGCACAATTGATGTGGTCTAACTCTGCATCTCACGCGTGTGGTGTTTCTACGTGGTAAGTTAACTCATCCTTTCCTTCAGTGGCTTTTTGTATTAATTTGCTTTTGCTTCCAACAAAACTCATAGGATTGTCTTTGTTGAGTTTCTTGGATTCATCTTGGATTTACATTTTCATGGAAGAAGCACAGACAGGATATACTTATAAAACTTTTTTCTGAGGAGAGCAAATTCAAACATCCCTATTCATACAGGCATGTAGTATCAGCATGCCTACGCACAATTCTGAAGGTACTGATTTCTGAATACAGCTATGTTTAGTATAAGGTGACTGAAGTAGCTCTCTTGCTTATCCAGTGTTCTTTCAAGTTCTAGCCTTGATTTCAGGGATGGCTGAAAGTTGTAGAAATATTTCTGAAACTTTTAAAGTTTGTAGGACAAAGTATTGACAGAAATGGAATCAAATTTTTATTTCTGCCAATACATTGAATTGTCTCTGTGAGTTCTAAACCCCTTCCATCTTAAGAGATGTCACAATTTTAGAGATGCAAGCACTTCTTTTTTTTTCTTTATAAAGTATTGCTTCCCCAGAGGTAAGAAATGCTATATGTGAGCTGAAATAATTTCAAGGTACTTTGTATAAGCATTTAGATTTTGGAGCACTTAAATCCTCATGCTGTAAAAATAAAGCATTATTTTCTGTTAGCCATAATGAGGCAACTGTTCCTCTGTAATGTGATTGCTTGGGAAATTTTTGACTGATCACAGTGAGCTATCCAGTCCTTTTGTAGGGAACTGTTCTTGCAAGAGCTTTGTCTTTTGTTCTGTCTCCATCTGTTGATAGGATGACTTACATCTTCTGTCTGGACTGACAGACAGGATTTAGGCACCAATCCAGCAAACTACTTAAACAACAGTTTAGCTTTAAGCTTTAGAGTAAGTAAATTACCTGGTTAAAAAAATTGAAATAACATTGCTAGCACACTACTGTCATCTTTAGAAGGGAGTTCAGGAGATTAGGTTGTATTGGTACATCAACTTCAAATGGAATAAGGTGCTAAATTAAACATAAATTGAGAATGGAAAACATAGATTAAGACTTTCCTCTTTAGTACAAGAGAAAAGATTCCAGTTTGATAAGTGTCTACATCTTGTATATTTCTTTTAGATCAGTGCTGCTTGAGTGTATAGCTAGGCAAACAGAATTGATAAATAAATTTATTATAGATGTATGTAGTAGTTTCCTCTGTCCAAAGAAAGACTGACCATAAAATCAGCAGAAATTATGGCATTACTTTGTAAAACAATAGAAATGGCGACACTAACAGAAGTAGTGACTGCTATTCAGTTAGCAGTAGTTCACTGGCAGACCCAGAAATTCTAATATATACTTTAAAGTACATACTTAAATATATACTTTTAAACACTTAAACACTCAAGTGTTTGTTTCATTGAATGGTCTTCTTATTAAATGATTTAAAAGTGTTAATCCAGAAAAAAAAATACTGTCCTTGTGAATGGATGAAATTAAAGTTTTAAGCTAGATGAGTTTTATATTCATTTAATGAAGCTGATGGTAAAATAGAAATTGTCTGTTTCTGAATTTAGTTTGGTTCATCTTTCAGTTTATTGAGCAAGCAGAAATGCTTTAGGTTTTGTATTCCATAATGGTGACCTCTTGTGGTGTGAATATGTCAGTATTTCTTTAGGAGCTTTCTGTAATACATATGGGAGGAGGTTGTATTTACATGTAACTTTTAATGAGCAGCTAACTTACTAACTTAATAAAATAACATATTATTTTCAAATTATTTATTAATATGAACAACTCAATGCTTGTGAAAGAAAAAGCTTTTTGAACACAGTTTTCTGATAATGCTTTTTTGTGTCCATACTGTATCTTTTAGTAACCAGATGAAAGAGCCTGGCAAAATGTCATCACAGCCAAGGACTTCAGGCTGGAAGAGAAGAGTAACAGGTACAAGGAATTTCAATCTCCATTAAAAAAATGTGAAATGCACTCAGATAGAAATAATCTAATTCTTGTGATTTGCCAATATTGTTCTTCATTATTCACTGAACAGTATTTTTGGTTTCCTAGATACATTGAGTTTTCTTACTGTTCTTAGTAAAGAGAAACAATATTCAAGAGATCTTCACTCTAAAAATCTGTTGGTATTTTCTATCTTGCTTTTCCCATATCTAGGCTTAAGAATTTGCCAATCCATGAATACCTTATTTGCCTATCACTTTTTGTAATTTTTCATAGTTGCTCAGAAACTAATAAAATTATGCCAGCCTTTATTATCTGAAGAAAAACATTTCAGATTGCTGTGTAGGGATGCATTTTTCTAATTTTCCATAACAGATTTTAATAATATTTCCTCATAGCTGACACATTTCATACATCACAAGTGCGTATTTGAGAGTCTGGTATGGAGACCTGAAGTTTCTACTGCACTATTATTATTATGCTTTATTACTATTTTTCTAGAACTGAAAAATTCTTTGATTCCAGATGATTCTGGCAAAGGTTGTACTGTGCTCTGCTCTCATTTCCATATGAGGAGCAGAGAGTATTTACCGTGTCATGCAAGTTAGTATACATACAAGCCTTTGAATTTGTTTGTGCTATTTTATTGGTGTTACTGAAAATACAAAGTGTGTTTTTAGGATTGTTTCTTTTTATATCTACTTTCTTAACATTATGTAGCTTCCTTAGTTTGTGCAAGCTTCATCTATAATCTCACAGTAAAGAGTGGGATAGCACTAGGAATTCTCCATAATTTCTCCTTTAGAATGGGATTCTGGGTGGAGCATTCATTTACAAATTATTTCTATTTTCTGATATGAATTGTGTTTATGCTTTGGCATTTTAGAGAGGAGGTAGACTGTTTTAATATTGGTCTATTCGTGGCCACTCAGTATTCAGTGAAAAGGCTAAACATTATAAGTCAGGCAGTACTCAGCTTTTGAAAGCTCAGTGTTGCTAAGGCTCTTGTATTTACATGCTAAAAACAGCAACCAATAAATGTAGACTGATTAGTGATTTTTTTTTTTTGACCAGAATGCAAAGCAGCAGTTAAGACCTATGAAAAACTGAGACAACCAACTTGAACTTGCTGCATTCTTTTGCTTGAGTATTTTTTCTGTTGAATTGTAGTTCAACTCTATTAGAAAGTTCTGGACAGCTTTTGTAATATTTTAAATGTAGCTAGTACCCTAACTTTTCATCAGCAGCTTAAAAAATCTCCCAGGACTGAGACATATACAATTTAGTAATGTTGCTTTTCTTTATAGTCGTGTATTGTCTGGTCATTCTTATTGTTAGGATTAATACTGTTTAGTAAAAGCTGATTATCTTCTTTTTCACTTAGGTATAAGAGATACTTTTTTAAAAAAAATTATGCCATTATGACTTTCAGTTTGCTGTATTCTTCTGATGAATATGAGACAAGTGAGGCAGAGTAGTACAAAAACATCTGTTCTTTTCATTCTGAACTAAAAATTAAATGGCTTCGTTTTTGGTTTTTTTTAAGTGAGAAGTTTGGCTCTCTGCAAATGCATGCCTGATGTTTTCTATTCCTTGCCTAATGAACTTGTGTATATGTAGTTAAAAAGTCAGTCCCATTGTCAGTTTAAGAGATGTAGCTACAGATAGAAAATAAAAGAAATAATTCAGTCAGTGTGTGGGTTTTGTGGCTGGAAGGAAGAGTGCACACTATTCTAGTGTTCTCATTTCTAGTTTCTCATTCTAGTGTTCTGTACTTTTACATTATCCAGAACAGAATTTTCACTTCATTGCAAACACTGCATAGTGTTTAGTTAATTAGGCTACTCATCATTTTAAATAAGATTGTCAACTGATTTGATCTAGAACATAAAAATGGTATGCAAAATAATAAGAATAATAATTATATTTGCTAATAACGTAGTTATATATAATAGATACATAAAAATATAGTTTTACAATGTTATGAAATAGAAGCATTTTTTAATAATCATTTGATATAGATACATTTGATAGATTAATTGTGCGTAAGATGTAGGTAGACGGTTAATATAGACCAAAAAAAGTCTGGATTATTTTCTAAAGAACAAGCTTTTAAAATAGGAAGGTTTTAATTGTTTTACTGTTCTAAGTAATGCCAGTAGACAGTCACTGTTTTAAGGTCTGAGGTACTGTTCTTGTGATGAAAACCTCATATTATTGGTGTTCTCAGGTACTATAGTATTTTTGTGTTCGTTCATGTTTGTATTAAGAATTTACCTTGTCCTTTAAATGCAAGAGCTAGTAATGAACAACAGGAGATATTTTCAGACAAATTCGTAACTTAAAGAAATGTGTATAATCCAGCCTTAGTAGCTTTCTAAATGTTATTTAGCAGAGTTGTGTGACTTCTATTTCCCTATTTAAAAAAGCAAAAACAATGCAACAGCCCAGACCCTGACTTTGTAACAAGTTTGTTTGCCTGCAAGATAAAGAGCTTAACCCAGTCTTGAACTCCAAACGCGTGCCCACATGCACCTTGTAAGCAACTATTAGATCCTTTACATCTTGAGTTTCACAGAAACTCTGGCTCTCCACCTGTAGTGGCTCAATAGTCAAGGCCAGAATTTTGTCATTTCAAAAGGTCCTAGGTGGAGGTGTAAAGGATGTTCAGAAAGTCAGAATAATTCCCAGTGATACTGCATCTATATGAAAGTGAATCCTGGATTCCATTTTTTAATAAACCGTAAGTTCACCAACTTCCTTGCCCAATCTGAAAACAGATCTATGCTCCCACTCTTGTTTGCAGAAAAAATCTAGTTTGATGGTTTTTAGGTCTACCGAATTTTGACTTGATGTCTGTAACACATTTTTTTTTGTATTTTCTTTTTGAAGCCAAGTATAAAAAACTTAAATATTTTTAAAAACTGTCTTTGTGGACAAGGTTTCTGATAGTGAAGAGTAGCTTTTTCTCAGTCAAAGGGATATTTGGCTGAGGGCAGCCAAGAACAGTGGGAGTTGGTTGCCTTCAAGATTTATGACATGTTTTTTGGAGGCAAAATATCTTTCACATCTCTATAGTTTACTATTCATTTCATAGGTTGCCATGTGAAAAACTGCTGAATGCAATAAAGAATAGGAAAGAAACATATATTTTATAAAAGTTTAGTCATGAAGTTCACAAAACTAATTGCATGAAGTAGTTGGAATTGCTAACAGGATGTAATAACTAACAGGACTTTTCCCTAACTGACCAGTCAGTTAATCAAGCTTCATGTAATATCATGCATGTGTACTAGATAAAATTCTACAGTCCTACAGGATTGTCTGTAGTATGCACTTTTTTTAACAAATAATAAGCTGTCCTGTGAACACGGAGCAGGAAAATAGTAGGACACTTTGATGTTTAAGTAGTCATTACCTTCCAATTCAGTGATCAAATGAAACATTAATGTCAACAAACAAAAGCTTTACAGTACAGCTTTACATATCAAACCACTTATCCATCTAGTTTTGTTTGAAATGTTCATTTTTGAAAACATGTAAATGAAAAAAGCTTGAATTCATAGAATAACCCAGAATATAGCAAAACGTGACATTTTTAGTTTTTTTTCCAGACTAATGAATAAAGTATTTGTAGCTATTTATTATTGTAGAAAGTGAAATCTTCACTGAATGTGTGCTTTTGTTTTGAATGTATTTTGAAGGTTTAAAGGATGAAACAAGAATAAATGGATGGGAAGAAGAAGATTTCTTTTGGCATACAAAGATTCTACCAATTCTGCATGAACTAGAAAAAAGTGGGTAACACTGCTCTGAAAGGGTGTATTTTCTGTACTGTTTCTTGCAGGAAGAATGGGACTCGTTTGTGTTTACTACAAAATAATAACAACAGTTGGGGTATGTGACCTTTTATGCTTTCAGATGTTCAGTGACTTCACAGTGTAAAACTGGCCTGGGCAGTTTAGGTGGCCTTGCTTGAGCACAGGGGTTGTACCAGATGACTTTCAGAGGTCATTTCCAGCCTTGCCCATTTTGTGATCGTGTGAAAAAAACCCAAAACTGGTTTAGAAAAGATCTTATCTTGTCTGATTAAATTGCCTTATTTTAGACAACATAGCTCTGCCATCTTAGGAGTCAGTGTTGAGCTAATAATAATTTTTAAAATAAAGTACTGCACAGATTCACTGCTTTAACCATAGACTGTATTGAAGGTCTCAATTCATTTAAAAAAACTAAGAAAAGCTTAACTGAAATTTTCCATTTGTGATTAAAATGTTAGATGTGCCAGAAAATTATGTAATGACTCAGAATACTGAAGCAAAATTGAGTAAATTAAGTATAGCTTGAAAGATTAAACTCTGGAATCCATTTTTCATTGAAAAAGTTGTTCAGTTGCCTTCTCTAGACATTGTATTTATTTGAATGTTGGGAATATAGAAAGTAGATTTGTTTTTACAAGTAGTTCTGTTTTACAGGATCTTTAGCAGTGTTTGTGATAGCATGGTATGGATTAGAACTTTTTTTGCATAGTTTTGCAGATGTTGATGAGTATGATGAGTATGAGACACCTGTACAGTGCTAAGTGATTCCCAATATATGTAATCATTTAAAAAAGACAGGATTCTCATCCCACTGATGGATAGAAAACAGTGATCAGGAAATTTGAAAACAGCTATGTAATTTCACATTTTCCTTGCTTAATGCCAAGATTGTCAAATATCAGACACTGAGTTATGGTTTTGCCTGGTGAGGTGTTCTTTATTTGTAAGCAAAGTAAAATTTAGAGGTAAAATCTAATAATGTCTTTCCCTTGTCATGAATGTAGCTTAGGAAGATCAGTTTTTATGCCCCTTTTCCTCAGTCTTTACTTGATCTGGTTAGCATATTGGGGTGTTTTTAAAAACCTGATGAGTTTTAGCTTAGTTTTCTGATAATAGATGACGTTATCTAGTGATACTTTCTCACCAGTTGACTGAGTGTAGTACTAAAAAAACCTTAAAACCTGAGTTTTGCTACTACTTTAATATTAACATGAATTGAAACTGAATTGCATCATTGCCTCCTGCAACTGTGTGATACATTACTTTCTTTAGACTATTTCTGCACGATTCTTATAAAAATTATTATTAGAATTCCATAATTGAAATGCTTTAAGTGGATCTGTTGGTAACTTAATTTTTTTTAAAATTTAATGTGCAGTTATTTGCTTCATACCTTTCAGCTGCACACGAACTTAGGTCACATTTAGTTTTTCAGGTATTAATAGAGAAGCATTTTCTTCACCTTCCTCATGCAAAAATATTTGCAGAAACCTTTCCATTCAAAATCAAATCTGAAGTTAACCTGGTACTTATTTATTGCCTAAATTCTTCTGAATATGATGTGTTTGAGTTGTTTGCAATATGACAAAAAAAACCCCAAAGTCTCTTTTTGTAGAGGAACAAATAATTAATTTTGTTACATTCCAATACTCAGGAGGTTAAGCTTTAAAGTGCCCCATGGGATGACTGATGAATAATTTTCGTTGTTGTTAATTTTGATGAAATGGCATGTAAGACTTTTCAGATTTGGTTCCTTGCCACTCCTGTTTCACTGCTTACTGGAGAAGAGTATTTAGAATCATGCTATATTTTGTTAAATGTTCTGTGATGATGGGAGTAGAAATGGAATAGTCATTGCTGTTCCTAGAGTGTGATGAGTGCAAATTGAGAGTTTCCAGGCACTTCTCAGCCCTAGGGATTGGTCCTTGAATCTGCCTACAGGTTTGGGGCCCTCAGATATATTTTTTGTTGCAATTTCCTGTCCATACATCTGTCATCACAAGTGCTTTGCTTCCTTGAATATGACTCTGTTTCAGTTGTGAAGTACACCCTGAGTAAATGCAAAGTTTATACTGCCAGATCAGGTGGATTTACGTGGGACTTTGTGTCACCTTATGGACAAAAGAAAATATATGAAATTTTCTAAAAAATCTCACTGTTCAGTTTTAAAAATAGACAAGACTATGTTGAGATGCAGTTTTTGTAATAATTTACTGATTTATTTTTGTGTATTTTAAACAGAGTCTGAGATATGGGTGAGGAAGTAGACCACTTTTTTACCAATAGGGCAACATTCCACTCAAATATATCTTGCACCTCTACACTGAAGAGTTCTAGCATGTTTCTACATTCACTTTTTTTTAATCCCAGCAAGGTTTGATGTTTAAAGTTACATATGGGGAGAAAAATGCTCCATAACTATCCCTTTTTCACATCTAATGTTTGGTGGAGTGCTTTAAAGAATGTTTACAGAGACACAGTTTCCTGGTAGACATTTGATCAATCTGATTATTAAACACTAAAGGTGAGTTTCATTTTAGCTGTAGGTATTATTTTGGCTCAATGATTTCTTGGCTTGAGTCTCCTTTTTGTGAAAAACCAGAATAAAATTATTTCTGAGGATTATGTTATCATGTAAAAACATTTATTCAGTGTCTTAGTTTTTGTTGTTGTGCAACCTGTTCTTTATTTTGTTCTTCATGTATTGAGATGCTCTGGATAAAGTGGCACTGATAATTATTTTTTATTTTTCTTTCCCTTCCTACACCCTTCAAGTAGAAGACAATATAGAACACCTTTGTCTAGCTTGTACCAAGCTCTATCAAACCTTGGATGAAGGAAATATGCTTGGGAAAAGATTTAAAAGAAGAAACGTCCTTCTGAAGATACTATATAAACTTGTAGACATTGATTCAGATCCGCTTTCCCTGAAGCTGGCAAAGATTATTCTGGCTGTAAGTGTTTTGAAATGCTCTTTGGTAGAATGTGAAGCTTAAAATCAAGAATTACAACTTGCATTTAATTTTTCATTTCATACTAGTAAACTGTGTCTAAGCCTTTCCTAGGTTCAGTTTACTACCACAGAGATACTAGTTTCCCATCCATCTAGATCAGCACTTGTAGTTATTTTCTGCAGAGAAGTTACATCTTGGAGAGAAAGGAGGGACACAAAATAGCATAGCTGGTGTATTGTGGCAGGAATATTGTATAGGCATGGAAAAGACAGAGTGTCCTAAACTGGGATACATATGCAGGGATTAAAAAAACACAATGATTATAAAATGTACACATGGAAGTGAAGCTTAGTTTTTGAATAATATCTTGACCTTATTCTGAAAATACCAAAATGGAAGGGTTTTTTTGAAAATGAGTAAATGTAAATAATATTTCACTTTAGTATTTCTGGTTAAAAGAATATAGGTTAAAAGTAAATAATAGTATTTAAAAGTAAAAAAAAGTATTTAGGTTAAAACTCTCAATTAAATTTTGTGCTTTAGAACTTCTTTGTTCACATTCTGCAAAGCAGGTATGGACAGTCACTGGTGAAAGGATGCCCACTAACATTGTGTTCTAGACATCTGAGTGATTTGTGTGTGTGTGTTGAGGGAGTCATATGTTCTCCTATAAGGTAGTGTAAGTTATTTATTCAGAAGATAGAGTTAGATACCACAGAGATGTTAAATGGTGCTTATTAAAACAAAAGGTTCCTTTACAGACATTTTTCTGTGTAATCTTTTAAAAAGCATGAACCTAGAAGAAATTGCCCTTGAAATACAGAGGAAAGGAAGAGAGATGTCACTGCATTTTTACCACCTTTACTTCTCTTTTGCAATCTCTTATCATAAGATCTTGTTTTCTGGTACCTGAGAGTAAATTTCATTATGGCATGTACTGTTGTACTGGAGGTCTTTGTGATAGGACTGTAGATGCCAAACCATTGATTTCCATACAGAATTTCTTTGTAAGGGAATTGGAGAAAAAAGCCTGTAAGTTACTGATATGCTACCTGTTCATATTAATACATTGAAAGTTAAAGTCTATTATTTTAAAGCTGGCACAGTTTGCTAAATAGAGTTTAAAATAACTGAGTTTCAGGTATTTCAGTTTCCTTTAATTCTGTATACATATTCAGTTTTTAAATGTATTGTTAGGATTTCAGCTGTAATTTAATAGTTCTGTGAAAATACAAGTTTTCCATGGTGTCTGAACTTGTAGAATGCTATGGTGCATTTTTGCCTGCAGAATTTGGTTGTGATTTTATGTCTTTTAATTTCTTTGCAGATGAAAGTAGATGGAAAAAATCTTCTTAGTGTTTGCAAGCTAGCATTTAAAATTTGTAGGAACAAAAAAAACTATTTCATCATTCAAAATGATACATTATTGGGTATGTATTCTTTCTTGTCTGTAAGTTAGATGTTGAAATTCAACAGTTAAAGTTGTTCACCTTTGAAAAAACATTTTCAGAGTTAACTTAGTCACAGAGTAAAAATTGCCTGCCAATTTGGCTCATACTAATGGTTGGTCTAGCCCAGTATTCTTTGTCTAAGTAGTGATGGGAACAGGGAATGCTGCTTAAGGGGAGCACAGGAGCCTATGTGTTTTCTGTGATCTGTTTCCCCAGCACAACTCCAGCATCCAGAACTATTCTGTTCTATTAGGGACATTGGATGGTGCATCTCTGCCTAATCCCTTTTTAGTCTCTGTTTATATGTCTTTTGTTCATTAATTTGCCTTTTTGGATTTTCTGATTCTGTCTGCCTCTACAATGTCATAGAACAAGTTCCAGAAATTCTCTGTGTGCTGTTTTAAATCTGTGTATTTTTCTTTATCCCCCTGCTCGCAGTTTTGCAGGATTTTTAAGAGTTTGTAGAGTCAGCTTACCTTTCACTTACAGGATTTTTTAAAATGCAGTCTTATCGCATATCTCTGTCTTTTCAAGACTGAGGCATCTCAGCCTCTTAGCTCTTTGAACAGATATTGTGTCATTCAGTTGTTTTACAAGTCTTTCTCTGTACCTTCTCAAACTCCAGTGGATCCTTCTTGAGATTTATGGAACAAAACTGTCTATAGAATTCAAGCTGTGTCTACACCAAATTTTATAGAAACGAAATAATGCTGACTCTGGTGTTGGCCATCATCAGGCAGGATCTTCAAATATAGTCATTGGCTTTGTATATTTTTTTTTTTATAGCTGCTGCTGCACATTGAGCCAATGGTTTTGGAGAACTGTCAGCAATGGCTTTAAGTGCTTGTAACAGTGTTTGTGTCATGCACACCCCCCTCCACCCCTTGCAAATATGAGAAATATGAAGAAAATGAAAGTGTGTGAGTGATAGTCAGTATTGATTGATTGATTGATTGATTGTAATTCCTTTCATTAAAACCTGAGTATGTTTCATTAATGTAGGCCTTGATCTTGCAAGCAGTTATTGCATGGTTATTGGTTAAGGCATATGTGTATATTTGCCTAAATAGTTGAGAATATTCATATTCCTAAAGTTTAGTACACAATTGTTGTCAGAAATAAAGACAGGCCTTTCAAGTGATAAGGAAAGGGCTCACAGGAAACAGAACAGCTGGGTAGACTTTTATACTGAAAAGTACAGTTTTGTAGAGAGCAGCATCATACGCAGCATTTGAACAAGTCACATTTTGCTCTCATTTCCATCCTCATTCACTTTTCTTTCACTTTCTCTTCTTTCTCTGTATTTTGAAAACTAGAGAAGGAAAGATCATTGGTAGGCATAGTTTTATTTGTTTATTCACTCTTTGTGTTTTGGACCCACCTTGTCCCAGAAGAAGACATGACCCTGGCCTATCATCACAACTACCAGATCCATGTTGCAGTCACTGGGTTATAGATTCAATTTCTTTTTCCTTTCCTGTCCCTGTGAATAATTTATGTGCATTGAAGCAGCTCCTTTAGAAGAAATAAGTTAATCCTTCATCCCAGAATAGACAACTGCTTTTCAAGTTTGCTTTTCAAGACTCTGTTTGATACTGAGCAGAGCAGGAACATGAAACTGAGTTCTCACATTGCTACAACCCAATTGATATAATTGGTGAGGGTGGGAGTTTGAACAAAAGCCTAGAGTGTGTGTACTTCATGTACATATATACTTGGAGAGACTTTCAGCTTCAGTTGAGACAGAAATTTTTTTTAAAAAAATCTCTTTAGTTAAATGATACAGGAAAATGTTTTTATTCAACTGGAACTGAATGGAACATAGGAAGCAGAAATAAATATCTCTTTGAATCAGTTACTAGAAATTCAAAAGTATGAAGTTGGTTAGGATTACTCATTTGTTTAAGATATCCACACTAAATTCAGAATGTCTCAGTTTGACTACAGAAGATACATTGGGCTTGTGTTAAGTGTAAATTTTAGCATTTCAGATGTCTGACAGTGATTGCACAAAACAAAACTTTTATGTCAACTTTACCTACATAAAAAGTAAATCTTAAAAGGCTATGAACAGATTTCAAATGTGCGAGTTGAATTAGGCCCCTGTGCTTTTTAGTGCTCCATTTGAGATGCTTTAAGACATTTGACTTTTTAAGGAAGTAGTGGGAATTAGTAAACAAAATTCTGGCCACACACAATCACTTTTGCAAATCTTGGCTGAGGATTTCAATGATTCCTGCTATGTGCTTAGAGCTTACACTGGTTCTTGAATTCTAAGAGAACAAAAGTCAGGCCCATTCTCTTATTCATCAATAATTGTTTATTGGTTTCAGTCCAAATATTCAATTTTTCTAGCCCACTTATTAGAAATGTAGCAGTTCAATCCGAGGGTGTTTTCCAGTTGTTAATCTCTTTAATGACCAGGCTATATCAAATATAAATTTTAATGTTAGGCTTTCTGAATAAGGATTTTCCTTTTAGATTACTTGTTGCAGGTTTTGTGGGACGAAGATCTACAAACAAACAATGAAGCTCTCGTCTATTGCATGGCAGCTATAAAATTCATGTCTGAAAATGCAGAACTCCGTTATAAAATGGTCAGCAAAGGAGCTGTTGAAATGTTTCTGGAATTAATGAAGCAGATTAATAACATAAAAGAACATGACACATATTTCTCCAAGTTGGGCCACTTATTAGTCCAGGTCAGAATTTACCTTTATTTCTAAAAGTATGTACTTCAAGGGCAAATGAAAAATTTAATTAGAGGAGATAAGCTAACCCTGTGTGCTACTGACAGAGTTGTACCTATATTTCAATAGACTTATTTTTAAGAAGTTTAATGAAGTTGTTCAGGACCTAATTTAATTACCACAGATGTTTGTGAGTAGTCAATTTTAAAGGCTTTAGAAATTCTGAAGTTAATAGAAATAGTTTTAGGAACCTAATAAACCAGTTTCTCATTACTACTTTATTGTGCTGACAAAGTTCTGGATACTGTAGTAAACAGATAAAAATGTGTTCTCTATCTAAATTCTTGAAACGGAAATAATAAATACAAACTGTTTCTTCAGTATTCTAGGAGATTACAAAAAGCTTTTTATTGCAAGAATAATGGCTTTTTATTACAAGAATAATGCATTTTAAAAATGTGTAGGGAAATACACATAGCTGTGTTTCTTTGACAAAGTGGTTTTCAAGAACTGCAATGTAAGGAAAAAGTAGTTGCAGAAGTGAACACCTTTTGAATCTTTTGAAGGCAGCAGGCTCAAAACTGTTTTTGCATACAAAGCACCTTGATAAGCGATGCCTCTGAAAACTAATCCTTGGCCCTAAAACTGTTTAAACCCATGTATTTTAGAAACACTGGGGAATGGGTATTGTATTTACCAAGGATTTGCCAGGTAGATCCCTGGCATTTGTTTGGAAGTTAATATGTAATGATTAGCAGATGGTTGAATTGTAAACTTTCAGGTACTTCATAGGACATTGGGCAATTTTCTGAGGTAGCATTTGCACTGGGTTTGTCAGCTTATTAGGTCAGATTTCTTTAATTCTCTACTAGTTTATAAGCACAGGATTTTATACGTCTTGAAATTATATGAGAAAACAAATTTCATAATCACATTACTATTGGTGATTTTTGTCTGATTTTTTTAGTCTTAGTAATAAAATTAATGAATTTGTTTATTTCCAGGGTCTTGACTAGCTGTCTGAACTTCCCCACAACTTTGCAGGAATGTTTTTCTTCCATTATTTGTCTGTTGATAAATTAAGGTTTTTTTAATCAAGGGTTTAATTTGCAAATGTGTGAAAGGAAAACGTTATAGTTTATGCTTTCTTTAAAAAAATCTCTCATATCTCTACTCTTTTCAGTACAAATTGAAGTGTAGCAGAACTGCTTTGTACTGTTTGAATAGACTGGCTGTTTCTAAGGAGTTCTTGAGTGTTTTGTGGAGCTGTCACTGACAGCTCTTACTGAGATTGCTCTTTCATTTGTTTGTGTTCTCTTCTATAGTAGTACAGATATTTTGGCTTTCTTCCTCTTGTGAGAAAAGTAGTGATTCCTACTTCTATGGAATTCCTTTGTGACTTTCTTATATCAGTTCCTTCAACAAATCCACATGCACTACTTCCTTCATGTGAGTTAACTGATCAGTTATCATAGATGAACTAACTAGTGGCTCTGTTTTAGAGATGATTGAAGAAAGTTTCTTCTGTAATTGATGTCTTCAGAAAAAAATTTTTGTAGCATATACATCTTGTAGCAACAGATCAAATAGCCAGAGACATAAAGAAAGAATGTATTCAGTGACAGAAAGCAAATTATATTGAAGGAGAAAAACACTTTAAATAGTCACACTGGTCTCTGAAGGAAGTTCTATCTCTTAACCTTGGTAACTGAAGTATCGCATTTAATTGGGACCACCTCTTCATTCTTTAACTGTATAATTGCACAATCACCAGATGGCAGTGTTATACATAGTCTTACTAGATCCTTTTTGTGGGAATAAAGTCCCTATCTGATTTCTTCATTCTTCCACAATGGATTTTTTGCAGAAGTTGTACAATAAAAGAATAAAAATATTTGTAATTTTTTTTTTTTCCTTAACAGAGGACATGAAACCAAGGTCATCTTTGATTAATTTTATGTTGCTTAACCTAACAGTCTGTTAATATTTATACGAAATATAGTAATGCTTATTCAAAATCCAAGATTTTTGGAGAATCACTGTCAAGAATTACTAAGTATTCCGTGTTCCTTAACTGAAAAGCACTTAAATGTCTTCTCCTTTAAAAATAGCATTTGTCAGCAGTTAAATTTTCTGTTTGGGTGAATATGATCTTTCATATGGCAACATAAGGATTAGGGCTGGTGGGGATTGCTAAGGACAATTATTACACATTTCTCTCAGAAACACAGGGTCTGCTTGATGCAATCACAATATCTCTAGGATTCAGCTGCTGTCTGGCTAGCTTCTATTATTTTTAAACTCTTCAAATTTCAGTTGCATATTAACTGTATTTTGTGGATATATACTTCTATGAACTGTTGAATGCTGTTTTCTTGCACATTTAAGTGTATATATTATTTTGCATTGCTTTTCCTTTCCGACCTGTCTTTGTCTGAGGATGGCTCTTGATAGAATGTACTGCTTGAGGATTTTGAACCATCTAACTGTATCAGGCATTGAAAAATTTTACTCTTTTTGGAGAACTCTGTACCACTTGCTATTGGTATTTTTTTCCATTATCCAGTACATAAGTCTCTTTGCTGCAGTGAAAGCTCTTGTCTGGGTTTGAACAACACTTTTAGTATGTGGCTTAGCCTTCATTTCCTTTATTGTCTGTATTGAAGCTTAGCTAGAATTCAACAAATATCATCTTACGCTGACTGTGAACATCTTGAATGTAAGCACTGAGTGGAGTCACCTGTCTCTATTACATGTGACAGGAATTTTTCTGCCAAAACTTTTGAAAAGCAAAGTATTTGATCAGAATATATTTATTAAAATATATCTCCAGTATTGTGTTGATTTTTGAAGCATCATGACTTGAGAAGGAATGTGCATCTGGAATTTTTTTTTTGCAGTTGTTCAGTTAAAATAATAAAAAATTCCAGGTGTCTTATTAAACTATGAGTGATATGAAGCAAATGGCTTCTGTAGGTTCAGATTCTCTGTATTATAAATTTAGTATAAATTGCATATTTCAGTGCTGAAGTTAAATCCATTCACATATCACTTTATCACATTTTTTTTCTCTCTCATGCCTTGCTTCTCCATTTTGACATGTTGCATCTCCTGTTGCTCCATTACAGAACATCATGGGGTTGCTGAAGATTTGTACTCTGCTGTCAAATTTGTTGAAGTAGGACAGCAAATTTGAAAGCTGCTGGAGAATGGACAGAATATGCATAGAGCCCTGTGTGCAAAAGCTGAAACACAACATCTTAACCTGCTCTTTGTCGAGTTTTTCTTTAAAATTAGCAATTGCTTATCACTGGATAAGCAGTCCAGTTTAGTGACAGAATGCCTAATTACCAGAGGTTTTTTTGTGATAAGAAACAATTTGAACAGATAGTTTTTGTACCTTATCCAACTACATCCAAAACCAAATTGAATTAATCAGTTCACACTGAATAAGAAAAATCTGAAGAATTCCCATATTCACGAAAGATTGAATAAGTTCACATTCACTTTGTAGTAAATTCTGGATTAGATCAACATTAACTTAAATGTCATTGCCTGTCTGACCTTGTCATTTTAATACTCTTGCCTTAGGAGAGAAGCAGAACACTTCAAGATATGCAATAGCTATTGCATTTTGTACATCTAGAAGTGTTACATCATGCTTTAAGCTCCTTGAAATAGAGCAGTATCAACTGAAAATATTTCTTCAAATAGATTTGAGTACTAAATCTTTTCATTTTTATATGTTCAAACAATGGATTTCTCATTTAAATTGGAATAAAACTGATTGTGTTTTAAAATCAATTAATTTTAGTTTGCAGTTTACAGTTATCATCAAAATATATATTAGCATTTTCAAGACTTAAATATAAATTTGCGATACTAAGATTTATTGAAGAATTATGCAAAAAAATTACTTTATCCACAGTATTTCACCTAATTCCAGCTGGTACATGGCTGTATACGTGCAATATTTTAAAGTATCTGGAAGATCATGTGTCCCTCATAGAAGGAGGTTGCGTGCAGGCAAAGACCAGTGCCAATCTTACACTTTCAGTTATCCCAAATACAGCATCTTGCATCCTACACGTTTCCTGTTGTTATTTATTGGTTTATACGTACCCGCAGAATGTTAACAGGGCATGCAGTCTGCCTTAGATGCTGTAAATGAGACCTGAGCTTTAGTGAATTTTCACCCCAGCATACTGTACCTTGAGCAGCTGTGGTTAACCAGTGTTCAAACTCTCCGTGTGCAGCTGGCAGCCACTCTGCGGATCCTGGCTGACTGCCCCACGGCCCGGCGCCGGCTCAGCGACAGCGCTGCCATCCCCGAGCTCTGCGTGGCGCTGGAGCAGCGCAGCAGCGACAAGGATTTGTGTCTCTGCATCGTCAGGATCCTCAGGTACGTGTGGACACAGCTCAGCCTGCAGGCAGCTCCCTCTTCCCGCTTGAGTAACTTCAAAGGAGTCCGATCGAGCACTAAGGTTGGAATATTTACATTGAACTCTTTTTAAAAAGCTCTGTGTAGCTTTTAGTGATGTTGTATGCTAATTGTGTCTCTGTCAGTACTTACAGAATTGTCTAATTGTAGCCATACAGACTTGGATTCATCATCCCCATGAGAAATATTTTGTTGTATTGTGTCATTCTTTGATCCCACAGATTCTGATTGAGTTTCTTAAAGTACCTTAAATTTCTTACATTTGAAAGCTGCATAAATTACTAGGTATTTATTAATCCTGGTTTTGGCCATGTTTGAAAAAAAAATGAGAGAAATTACACAAAGAACTGTGTATTGTGAATTAAAACACACAAGAGAGAAAATATGACCAGTGTTCATTGTTTTGAGCTGTTACACAGTGTTTGAGTAGATTAATCTCTGGGATCAGGGCTTGAGTGTGCAGATGGAAGTGCTGAAAGAATCTCAGTTTTATGAGCAGCCAACGGCTGCTTCCCAAGTTGTGCTTTTTAGCAGGAGATCAGTATGAGCTAGCCACCAAAAAGATAATTTTGTAGTCTGAATAGTTCCTCAGTCAAAAGTCTTCCAGTTACTAAGCATCAGCTTGCAGTATTCAGTGCTAAATGGACTTGCAAACAATGAAAGGATTTTGAAGAAGTTGTGAAATCAGCTGTTGGTAATTTCAGGAGTAGTTGGATTATAAATGCAGTTTATGAATGATGTGCTGGATGAAGTATTTGCCATTTCTGCTCTGTTCCTGCATTAAGTCATGTTGCCTGCAGCTCTGTGTTCAGTGAGGTTCTGTTATGGACTTCTCTTCAGCTCCTCCAAATTATCCATCACATTCTCCTTTCTGGATGAGTTTGAGTTATGCTTTGAACAGTGGCTACATAAGGGGATGGCGTTCCTTCCTCCCCACAGCTGAAGCCAGGCAAATCTGCTCCTTTGCTCTTTGTTCTACCTGTAAAGCATGTGCTACCCAATTTCATGCTACCTCGTTCACATCTGTCTCTAGTTTTGTTCCTAAAAATGAGCTCTAGCAATGATCACAGCACTTTGAGCATATTTACTTCTTCTGAGGAGGAAACATTTCTTTTATTTGGAAAATGCCATGGCAAGTGGCATAATGGGGTTGTAATTAAATGTAATAGATAATTACACTGTAATTCTGATAAGGACATTTACTTGATACAGAATTCAATATGGAGAAAAAATAACTTACCTTACTTAAAGTTCCCCACTGCTTCAATTTTTTTTTTCCTTAAGATTAGAACTACATGCTCCAAGAATACAAATTAGCCATAAAATCAATTTAATTAGCTTCTTGAAAATTGCAGTCACCAAAAAAAAATATACTATGCATTACAGAGCTCAGATTTGAATTTTGTTTTGTCTTTTAGTAATACAGAATGATTATTCTCTCAACCTCAGACAGCTTCTTTATAGAGAATATGTTCAATCTATTCAGAATATTCATTCAATAAGACTATAAATCTTCCTGTAATTAGTTGTAATTGAACATCAACACAGATCTTTTCTGGTTTTGACTACATGAGAAATAAGATGTTATCCTAGCTTGTTCTGTTATTGCATTTTTCTGATGTGACCAAAGCACGTTCAGTTCCCTGTTTTGGCAGTGGTCAAGGTGAGCAGTGTAGGACTGGAGCAGCTGTTAGAAATGTGCAGAGATAAATCCTGCTTGCAAGGAGGCACATTCTCTGTATTTGCTGGTGAGAGATGCGTTCTCTTAGTGCTGTTGCTGGGCTCTACTAGATGTGCACTTGGAGGGCACCTCTTATTTCCTCTCATCTGACTTCCCACATCATCTTGAAATTCCAGTTCTCCCGTTTAGCACTAAGAAGTGCTGGTGTTGGCATACTGTGTCCATATGGCAGGCAGGTTGGAAAGCCCTTGTTTGGTTCTTCCCATAATTCACTGTAGCAAGGATAGCTAGGCTTCTTTTGTGCTCTTGCATAACTGTACATGCCTCTATGAGAAGTCAGAGCATTGGCATTCACTTCATTTGTTGGAAAATACAGCTCTGAGAGTCAAAAGTGACTTTCTAAAAAAATGTTTTGTGGAAAAAAGTCCTTTTGTTCATTTATATTTTATTTTTTTTCTCTGTAGCAAACTTTCTACCTACAGTGACTTCTGTGCAGCTTTAGCAGACTGCTCCAGATGTTACATCTTATTTTTAGCCCTACTAAACAAATACCAGAAGCAGCAGGTCAGTTTTTCATCTCTTGATTTTTATATATTAATCCTCTGATGTGTCTGTGTATTATTGTGTATAAGCATGTTTTTAGTGACCTACTTTTATGCATTTACCAAATAAAAATTGTAAATGGTTGACAGTATTTCTAAGTAGTAAATAATTGTAATGAAATAATTTAGATTAAAAATTCAAAGCAGTACAGAGGACAGTTGATTAACTTGTGTATCCATGTGTAGAAACAGTCCTTATAGTACCTGTTTTCCTTGTTTTAAGAACTATTTTTTAAAGCAAAAAGCTATCTGAATATTTAATAGTAGGAAATTGTTGGCTCTCAGTGTCTTGTCTCTTGTTGATAGTTCTCCTGTCCTCCTTACTTTCAAATGAAGTGTGACTTCTCTAGAGCTAAGCCATGTTGAAATGAGCTAAGCAATGAAAGCAGAGGAAAATATGTTCCTTGCTGTCATGTAAAAAGGGGAGATTTACTCAAACCCTTTGTGTGTGATTAGTCTGTAAGAGCCTCAGGAAAACGGTGACCCTTGTGCCCAACCAGTCTGTCAGTGTCCCATTATGGGACCCTTCACTAAGCAGTCCCACTGGATCTGTTCCACTGACTTATTCAGGGTCACACATCTGACAGAGAAACTTCCTCTTGGGTCTCCTCCTTCACCCAATGCGGGCAATGGGCAGTGCCCTTGAAGGACTTGCATTAACAGTTTGCAGAATAGTACTCTTTATTAATAGACTTGTGAAAGGTTGACACTGATAGTATCAGACTGCAAAAATATATTCAAAGCAATATACTGATTTAAAGCAATGTATTAACAAGCTCTAATCCCAAATAAAAGCTAGTCTGAGACAATCATTCAGCATGTAGAGATAATGTTTCTTACACAGTAGGCACCCCTATGAGGGAGAAGACAGGTTCAGCTTGTCGACTGATCCCAGAAGTTACAATGGAGTCTTCCCCCATTTCTCCCCATTATTAACTAATTTTTATACTATTCTCTATGTTTAGGTGGAACTTGAGTGGTTTTGGTCATACCTCTTAATCAGTGAGAGGTGGATATCTTGGGATAGTACCCAGGATAACCTTGGGATGGGGACATGTGTTAGTTCAATTAGAATGATTTCATAACAGTTGCTGATTCAAGAGCAAGACATTTTCCTTTATCTCTCTTGGTTTTCAGCTGCTATGGGGCTTATCAACTAGAAAGTACCACTGAGTTCCCTCCTCTGCAAGGGTTTCAACACAGTGCCTGGCCATGGTGTCTCCACTCTGCTCCACCCTCTGTTGGGTCCTCCTTAGATTGCATAGTATGTGGGAGGTCAGATGTGCTGACCATGTTTCATCCAGGGAGTACAACTGTATTTTTCCCTGTAACTTCCATACCATTATCTTTTTACCTTCACTCAGCTTCCCATACTCTTTAACTGTGTAAGATATCAAAATGTATCGCTCCTTTACCAGAGAAAACCACGTGCCTGGAGTACCGCGTTTGGGATGTTCATGTAGAAATAAATATTTGTCAAAATGCCTCGTATCATGAAGTAAAATTCTGAGTATAGTTGCTGCCAACTTTATTAGAACTCTGGGGGTGTTGTTCTGTTGTCCTGTTGTATCACGGTGATCTTATATTTACTGAAGAACTAGGTTCTCAGAGTTTGGTGCAGGATCCCAGTCTTACAGATTGATGCATTGGTAAGAGTGGAGTGCCATATGTAGGACAAATTACTCAGCTCTATTGGCAGGTAAGTTCTAAGAAGAAAATAATTTTTACCTAAAGCATAAATGCCCAAAGGTGGAACAAGGTTTCAAAACATAGAATATTAAATTTCATTAAGATCAGTCTTAAAAGTAAGCAACTTGACTGGTCCAGCATCTAGTTTAAGATCATTTATTTATCCTATACAATTTATCCCAGGGCTAGTAATTCTTGGAGATGTGTTGGAAGGAGGTCTTTTGTGCTGCTATCATTGAAGGGAGTTAATGAAGGTAACTAGATTGGCTATGCTGAACAATATTCTTTCTCTTGCCAAATACAAAAATAATTTGTTCCTTTCCTGTTTACCAGCATCCCTGTTTTCTGTGATAATACACATGGAAGAGGAACAAAGATTAAAAATTGTTTCTCTTCTTCTAAATAATCTGCTGATTAACAATTCTGTAGCATATCAGAGTATTTCTAGGTTCAGGCTGCTCTTGCATAGTTTAGTCTTCAAAGATGCTTTAGTAAAATACTACGTAAATATTACATAAATAACATGAAAAATGTCATAGGCATTATATTTTCCTAGACTTATAGTTGTTCTTCCTTGTGTCCATTGTATTAAAACCTCAACAAATTATGGAACTGAGAATAAGGATCTTTAATTAAATAACACCTTTCTCCTAAATTTAATCTGTCATTTTAAGGGTAGCTTTTCTAGGTTCCTGAGATAATAGCTTTGTGTCGTAATGAATTGTAGGTTTGTATCTACCTCAAATTATTTGTTATTTAGTATTCAGAATTTAGCTTTTCATTTGTCTAAGTGGTCCTAAAATACATCTTTTTTTCACAAGGTGAGCATTGCATTTTGTGTTAAATTGTCAGTTGTTTTATCAAAATACAAATGAGTAAAGAAGTACCTTGTGTATCAAAAAAACCTTAGCTTTTACATTGTGTTGATTATATATGCAATGCCTTCAGAATAATCATTTCCTACTGCAGTTTTGAAACAAGCATGCAGTTGTCAGTTGTCAGCTTAGTGAAGCCCTGCAGAAACAAAAAGAGGGACATAGATAATGTAATGCACCGCTTTTTCTGTAGTATATAATAAACACTTGAGCTGTGAGGAGTGCAAATGTTTTTCCTGAGGTGTAGTTGGCACTACTAATCTTTTTTTTAAAATGCCAACAGCTAGTGAGTTACAGTGTGAGTTGGCATGTGTAGAAAAGAAATGAAGTAACACCAGTGTGAGTAAAATTGTCTGTTGTGGGAAGAATCAAAGAGAAGGAAAAACCATCATTATTAAAGCATTAAAAATCTTCAGGACTAAAAACTGACACCACAGTGAAGAAAGGAAGTGTGTGTGTCTGTGTGTGCATGTGTTTTTCTGAGTTCTCAGGTTGCAAATTTTGTGGGATCAGATTTTTTACTTGCAGTCATAGCAACTAGAAACATAGAGGGGAAAAAATAGAGGAAAAGCAGCATTCAGACTTTCTCAAGGGCTATCATAACTGTGACTTTAAACATAAGTATTAAGTATTGTGAAAGTCAAATTGGGAGCACTGGAAATAGGATTAATGACTTGTACCCACACCACACATTGAATTCCACAGTTGCAACCCAAATAGTGTCTGTCCTTTGTTCCACACTGCGGTTACAGCTCTTTTACCTTTTTTTCTTAGCTCATTTTCTCTCTTGGGTCAGAAAGAGTCAGAAGGAAAGGAAGAATAATGATTCAACTCTATGAGACAGACTTCTAGGGAAATTGAATTGGCAAGACTTGATAATGCCATGCATCATCGTCTTAGGTAGGGAATACAGAAGACTGGAAAAGCTGAATCTTCAGCATAGGACTGGGGAAGTCAACTGGGCTTTTATGCACATCTGGAATATGTGTTCATGGTTGGCTTTGGACCTTACTTGTGTGGAGTAACAAAAAAAATCCGTGGTGATTGCCACATGCTGTCAAAACTGTCAGAAGTGTTTTCGTAGAGCCTCTATCTTTGCAGGATAAGCTTTGCATGATTCTGTTTCTAGTCAGCATTGTAGACTTTTGCCCATCTCAAGAATTTTAGCAGGGTTCTGTTCCACTTTCCCACATCATTATCATCTCTAAACTTCCCAGATAAACTGCATAAAGAGTTACTTTCTCAGGCAGTGGTTAATGTCACAAGTCACAAGCAGGCAATGCTTTTGGAACAAGGACATTGCCTAAATAGGACAGTAGCTTCTGTCAATAAGTCAGGCACTCCCTGAGCTTAGGTGGTATTTTGGGGCCCTGCCAGCTTCCATGTAATGTTTTATCAGTTAGGAGCCTATTTTCAGTCCTAAGAGCACAAACACGGGGTATTTGTATACAAGCAATCTTATGCTTATGTTGTATAGAAAGGTCCCCTTACACTTCAGTGTATCCTAATTTTGAAATTGGGAAGCATTTGTTTAAGAATCAGACATTGCAGGATGCAGTAATTGCCCATTCAACAAAATAATAATTATATTGGATCACATGAACAGTTCATCCAGTCTGCTCTTGATACTTGGCAGTGATGAGATTCAGATGTCTGGAGAGCAGTAAGAATGGAATAGGCATGTATGATACTTCCTGTTTGTACTTACCAAACCTCCAACTCTTTCCAGTTTGGAAACACCCTTAGCCAGCTCTGTATGAAATAAACCTCAACTGACTTCTTTTCTATGAAATTCTACAGTCTCTTTTCTACCCCACATAAACTTTTAACGTGTTAAAGGTCCATTGACACAGAATTGCATAGCAAGCAGTTCCTTTTGCCTATTTTGAATTTGGCCTTTACTGCCTTTATTTGATGCTTTCTGGTTCTTGTATTGCAAATGTGATGAAGCCCATTGTTCATTTCACACCTCCCTTGATGTTTCTCCTACCCTCTTCAAGGTGCCTCTTTTCCATGTTGAAGAGTTCTTGCTTACTTAGTCCTTTTTGATTGTTCCATGCCATGGTGTATCCATGTTGATTTCCTCATAACATTTGCCAGTCCTGATTCCTGTCTCTTTTTTTGAGAGGAGGAAACCAGAACACGGCACTTAAGATTTGCCATATCATAGATTTACATGCCTGCATACATTTATTTCCCAATAATTCCCAATACTTTATTTGCTTTCTTGATCTGTGATCATTAAACTCTGTCATTAGCTCTAAGATTGCTCTATAGGTGATTATGGCTGATTCAAAGGCTGTAATTTTATACATGAAATATATTTGCTCTGTTCTTTTCCATTGATCCTTTCATGTTTGAATTCATGCCTTTAAATTTCATCTGCTGTTTTATTACC